TGTCCTACTTGGCTGGCATGACTCGATACAGTAACCTGGATCTATCTACCTACCTACAATATTTACCTAACTTTGCCTGCCCCCTCTGACTTTTTTATGGCAAATATATAGTACCAGGTATTATTTTAAGTTGCAGTTTTACAGTTTGTGTGATATTTTGCTTGTATATACATGTCTAACTTAAAGTAGATTAGCATTAACCAATGGGTGTATGTATGTATATATATATTTAATTACATAGCACTTACAGGTGTATGTAGCACAGTACAGGTGGCATTTACTTAGTACACAATAAATCCAAGTATATTGTATATAGTATATTGTATTTATTAAAGCAGCTGTTACGGCTGTTACTGGTAGAATGCAATAGTTGTACAGCACGTGTTTACTTATATATAAATATTTATTTATATCCTGCTTAAAGGGATCCTATAGAGCCAGGAAAACCAAACAGTTTCCCTGGCACTATAGGGCCAATAGGCCCCCCTTCCGTGGGGCTGAAGGGTTTAACCCCTTAAGGACACATGACGGAAATATTCAGTCATGATTCCCTTTTATTTCTGAAGTTGTGTCTTTAAGGGGGTAAAACCCCTTCAGCCACTTACCTGAATCCAGCGCCTATGTATCAGGCTTCCGACCACGCACCTCCCACTGACATCGGCGGGGCAAACCTAATGCGCATGCGTGGCAATGGCCGCGCGCATTAGACCTCCCCAAGGGGAAAATTAGACGCTGAAGGTCCGTGAGGACGTGTCAGGTAATGGACCAAAAGTCAGTTTGGATTCTGGAAGCCCTCTAGTGGCTGGTAGACAGCCACTGAGGGCAGACTTAGAGCTGCAATGTAAACATTGCAGTTCTCTGGAACTGCAATGTTTTACATTGCAGCACTAAGGGCAAAAGGGTTACTGCACCCAGACTACTTCAATTAGCTGAAGAGGTCTGGGTGCCTACAGTGTCCCTTTAACTGTAATATTCAACAATTTGCATATTACTATATTACTATACACTAAAAAAAATACAAAATAACATCAATGACAAAAAATAACAATTCATGGGTAAAACAGCTCCTGTGTTTTCTCTTGTTTCCAGCAGAGGGTGTGCAAGCACACAATTCTTACATACGGCTAAACCACGGCTCAGGAATAGGGAGATCCTGACAGGATACATTAATATAGATCGAGATGCAAAGCTCTCAATCTGCAATCACAGTGTCATACACTCCGGCATAGCAAATCATTAAATATATGTAGCTTATCTCAGAATGTGCTGCAGAATGTAGACATTAAACTAAAATGAGTTGCTTTCAGTTTACCATAGTATTCTATCCACGCATATGGACGTATGTAGCTGTATACATCGAGAAAAAAAACAGCTATTTTTCAAAATGGGGCCAAATTGGTTAAGTTTTTAATTGGTTGTAAACCATCTTACTGCCTGCATGCAACCAATGCAAGTCTGTTAATGTTCCTTTCTTTATGCTATTTGTCTACACAAGTCTGTTAGTCTGCCTGACCCACCTTTATCGAAATTCTGCTAAAGCCGAACTGTCACCGTCTGGGGACTTTACACAATTTGCAAAGACCCCCGACGGTGACATCTCCGCTGGAGGTCCGGTGGCTGGTGGCGGGGGAAGGTGGGATCTTCATACTTGAACCTGTCCCTTGTGTGCACCTCCATCGTCTTCTGGCTTGCTGAACTCTTAAAAAGGAATTGCTGAGAACTGATGGTGGACTGCATATGGTAGGCCAACGTAGCCAAACTGAACACATTCTCTCAACCTGGTTTGTTAAGAACTGAATTCCTATGACTTGTCTATATTAACACTGATTCAAAAAGCTGATGACTAAAATGAAAATATCAAACACACTTTGGGGTTATATACACAATCAAATATTGGGGTGCAATCTCAGTATTAGACGACCTTATCAGGACAAATAAATCACAGTACTGCATTTATAGTCGTACAAGGCATGGGGATCGAGGACACCCACGTTTGAAGTTTTTTCTCAAAAAAGAAATAGCATTAAAATTTGGCATTGGTTTCTGACATTTTTGTGTGATCCTCTTTAGATATCAATGGCGCACACCATTATCTTATTTCTGACAGTATAGGACTATTTAAAGGGCCATTGAAGTGTTTACTTTCTGAACAGTGAATTCTGTTGAACTTTAATGTGCTTTTACTTTCATAGTCCAGTTTGGAATACAAGTTGGGCATTTTTTATAACTGTGTGAATGTTTTACAGTGAGATAAGTGAAGCTATGGAATGCATGACATGGGGTGGTGGTAACTAAAAATACTGCGTTTCCCTTTAAGAGAAGGCTGGGCGCATTGATACCTAAAGAAGGTGTTCATTTGAAACTGGTGATCCAAGGTTTAACTGACTGCTTTTAGGAGACTTCCCTTATCTATTGATAAATGTGTTTAATGTTTAACTCCTAATAGATGGATAAAATGGTTAACTTAGTAGGCTTTTTTTTTTTTTTTTAAAGAATATTATTAATTTAAATATTACACATTTCCTATTTACTCTACTTTTCGCATCCATGGCAACAGAGGATGTGGAGCACTGTGTTAGGGTGTGCTCCCAGGTAAAATAACATCTATACTTTACTTAAAAATGTTAATTAAAATATAAGGTAGAAAATACAAAACAACCAATAGACTATATAAAAGGCTAAATTAACCACAAAAAAAATAAAAAAATTTTTTGTTTTAATTGTCCACAAATTCCAGTATAGTGGATACATTTCACATGGGTTATTGATCCAAAGAGTCAGTCTGTGATATACTGATAATAAACCATTTTCCATTATAGTCCATTTAAATGGTGAGCTCAAGGATCTCAAATACTCTTAGACCTGCAAATAATGTGCGAATATTTCTAGTTTGAAATAGGATCTCATTCAGAACAATCTTAACTTTAATATCATTTGGAAGGAATCCCACACAGATAAGACCTGACACTAGCTAGTTGTGCTAAGTGTGGCCTAATGGTCTTTTTCCTGAAAAAGGGGGGATCAGTTTCCTATGCCATTATCACAATACTATTTTATGATGCATTAGAAATTACTTGTCTGGTATATTTAACACTATTGCAGACATTGTAGGCTATTTACCTGTTATGGCAGAACAAAGGAGAAATTATTCTAAAATATCCAAAGCATTCGAATGGTAGCTTTTTCAAAAAATATTTTATGTGTTTATCATGAAACTCAGAACTTTTTGATCTAACCAATAATGTAAATTTAAAGTGTAGGCTATGTTCTGAGTAGACTAGGAAGGTGTGAATCGTGTATTTGTTGTTTACTCTTCTGTACAGCGCTGTGGAATACGTTGGTGCCTTATTAGAAAAAAATAACAAAACTAAAATAATTCTAAATATCGGTTGGGACACACAACAGTAACAGAGAGAATGAATGAATCTAAAGGTCTTAAATATTGTTTCGGCAGATATCACTATTTCCTGTAAGCTTGGAGCATGTATTTTATTTTAGAGGCATAGAAACATCGATTTTTTTTTTTATGGAAGCTTGAAGTCAAAAGGCCTATAAAGTCTCCCCAAATTACATGTGAATAGTAATAGGTTTGCTTTATGTGAATCACATTCATTCTTGAATTCTTTTATAGTTTTTGCCTTTGTCACCTCCCTTGGAAGTCTATTCCTTCTTTTAAAACTCCAAATGAAACGGTTGGTGTCAATACCGAATGCTATTGTGAGTTTGTATGGACCTCTTTACATATCAAAAAATACTCAAAATGTAAAGTGCATGACAAAAGTTCAAGGTCTCTTCACTAAAAATGAAGATGAGGTGTGTTGATGATGCACTTGCAATGTTTAGACAAAAATAGCTGAGACTGGAGGAAAGAATATCTTCAATTTAGCAGTGTGGCTAGGCCTTAATTTTACAATCCTGTCAATAACTTGTGATAATTCAGCCATAACGCAAAAGTAATTAGATTTAACACACATTATTCTGATTGATTGGAGTCGTCCATATTTGCATGTCAATGTTCCAATTACTCCACTGTCTACAGCCAATAGGAAACCGTGTCTCAGAAATCCCAGCACCCATTGGCTGAATAGTCCCACCTGCCTGCTTATGTCACACACAGCAGATTTTGATACAGCTGTAACCGTTTGATACATCTGTAACTCTTTGCAAGTACAGTTTGCAACAAGCACAGACACAGTTTAGGACAATGAATAATAATTAAAATAAAACTGCATTCATTTCATAGGGATTTTTTTTTAAAAGTGACTCTTCTGAAATGTGGTGCAAACATGCGAAAGGGGCAAAGTCACCAATGCATTGTGCCTATTGGTTCCAATGATTGCCATGGCAACCAACGCTGAGGGTGATCGGTTCTGCAGTCCACCTCTACTACATACATTATATCATTTTCAAGGATGTCATTTTGCTACATATGCATGTTAATTATGATTGTTATTATGCAATGCACTTATGATTAAAGACTTCCTGTTTTATATATATATATATATATTATGGCTGGTTTAACAGAGATCAAATTATTGCAGTGCAGCTATTCTAAATAACACATTTACTCGTGTTTTGTCTGTATGCACATATATATATATTCCTTACACATATTCATATAGACACAGTCAGACAGATGCAACACCCAGAACACTTATAATTTGATTTTATAAAATGCATCATTTATATATAGGGGAAAGAGAGAGAAGGGGTTGGATTCTCCTACTCGATAGAAATTTTCCCATAGACTTCAATGAATAAATCACAATGTAATAACTAGAGTACTCTGCTAAAAAAAAAAATAAACAGCCCAGGGAGACAGGGAGACAGAAAGAGACAGACTCTCTCTCTCTCTCTCTCTCTCTCTCTCTCTCTCTCTCTCTCTCTCTCTCTCTCTCTCTCTCTCTCTCTCTCTCTCTCTCTCTCTCTCTCTCTCTCTCTCTCTCCAGGAAAGTTCCCAGTGCTATTATGTATATGGAGTTATTCCATATACTGTATACTATGTATCTCTCACACTGTGAGCTGCAGCCCTGATCCTCCCCAGTGCTCTCTGCCTAGCACTGTAGAACCTGCCCACTCCTTGACTGTTTGTGGCTGTGTTGCTTAGTAGAAGGAAGACTGGGGGCGGCGCATGAGAGCCTTGCAATCTATGTATATTCTCCTGATCCACATTATTCCACTCTCCCTACAGCAGAGCTGGGAGCAACTGGCATCCACAAGGAGTTTATTCTCACCGAGCCCAGGGATTTAAAAGCCTTCTCCATCCAAGTGGAACTGCATAAAGCCTGCTTCCTCTGTTTCCTCTGTGCCAGGAAGATCTGTAAAACATTGTAGCATTTGGCAAAGTTCTATTCATTCTCTCCCCTATCACAGACCTGCTGGGCTGCCTTTGTGCATGTCTACATATATATATATATGTATTTTTTTTTCTTTTGGTGTGTAAATGTTGCATGCTTGGGAGGGGTGGGGGGTGCAGTGGAGATCTTGCAGGCAGGTGACTGGCGTTTGAGAGAAGATCATAGAGCTGCCTCAGTGGGCTTTTTTGCTGTTTATCTGACCTAAGAGCCACCTACCTACCGACACCAGAACCACCATGCACAGTCTGAGCCTTGTCTCCTGCTAGAGATCCAGGATAAGCCAGGAAGAAGAAAAAAAAAAAAAGAGGAAGGGGACCTTCTGTAAACTGGCAGCAGATCCACCAATTCTGTGGGGTGTTGTTTCTCCCCTAAGGGATGTTACTGATTCCCCCAAATACAGGAGCGTTTTTGCAGCTCCTACACCAAGACATTGCATTGTCATTGAGTATTAAGTGCTGCAGAACGCAATGAGGTGCTGGGGTTGGATTCTGCTGCTAAGCCTTTGCTACCTGTCACCTTCATCCTGCGAGGTAGGTCTGTGGTCCTACATTGCTGTGTACGTTTAGCTACATATATTTACTATGTGCATTTAAATATATATTTTTAATTAAAGGTTACACGTAATTTGATTAATAATGTTATTTTGCAGCCATAAGGTGGAGATATTTGTTTTATTGCCCTTGTATTAAGCCATGAATAGCACTGAATCTATGTGCCAATTGCATGTCATAGAAACACACCTTTAGCCAAGAGGGTAGATTTTCAATGTTAAAGAAAATGATTTAGAACATTTTGGGGAGCTTGATCACTCTGTCTGCAGGAGAGGTTCATCACAGCAGCTACATAGTAATTCTCTCCTCTCTGAAGGTTCCATGACTTGGCAGAACTGCACAATGATTGACTCTAGTGCATCTCAAGAGGTTTTACTGCACCAGACAAGGTGGATGGACCTTCTAGCTTGATTTCCACTGACAGCAGACCATAGCAGTTAACCTGATCTAAGCACTACATTCCCCCCCAGACCATGCCTAAACAAGATCAGAACATTTCCTGCACATTTCAAGGCTACCTGATATACACAAACACACACACACACACACACACACACACACATTTTTTGCCATGTCAAGCTGACCCACACAAGTGCTAAATGTGATCCCCTCCCCCCCCCCCACCATTTCTTGCCAAGCACATCTGTCTTCTTAGCAAAGTTGTAAGCTATAATTAATCTGGAATTGTTTGTTTTGATATTTTAGACCTGCTAGAATATGCCATATGAAAATCGCACTGCAGTTTTGAGGTTTAAAAAAAAAAATCATTGATAATCAATTTAGGGAGTGTTGAAGCAGTATGTGTGTAACAAGATTTCTTACAAGGGTGCTAAAGAAAGCAGGCTTATCCAAGCAGATTGGAAGGGGGAACAAATCTAAGATCACACAGGTCAAGTGAATGCTTTTTAAAGAAATATATTCACCCACCCCACAGGTCTCCTGTTGAACCAGAAATTAATTAAGGGTTAGGGAAATCTACCAATCCCCTATAGACACTGCTATTTAAAGAAACAGAGTTTTTAAGAACAAATTGTCTAGGGCTGGGATATAATCTAGCAATCTAATGAGTCACGTTGGCATTAGCATGGCAGACAAAATATTTAGGAATGTGGAATGTATAGGGTTTTTTTGTTGTTTGTTTTTTAATCCCACGATATATAACAAAACTATTAAAGAAAAATATGTCACAAGACGAGACTTGTTCCTAAGAAATAATTGCGGATATTAGCAACGTCCAAAAAGGTGTATTTATTTATTTCGTATGTATAGATTTTTGTAGTTTACAATAAAGATGGTAAAAGGCTTTAATATTGTTTTAAGAGTGCAATTAATATATAAATATTTGCCTCTGCCGTGCTGATAGGGTTAAAAGTGGATTGTATTAATGGGTGCTTTAGAGTAAGTCTTGCCCATTGCATGTGTGAAAACCACCAGGGCTGACAAACTTTAATTGCTGTATTGTAGCTGATATATTCTATAATACAGAGTTGAAAGACAAATTGTGATGCCTTTAGTGATTATTTTATTTTCAAAGCCTTTAAGAGCATAATTCTCTGCCTTAGCTTGTCTGCAGAATTTTTTAAGTGACTATCTCAAAACCCAGGGGGAGCCCCCACCCCAGATCAGGGTACAGACTGGCGTAAAACATAACTCAGGGCGTGCTTATTTGCCTGTAATGCTTTTTAGAGATTGAAGCCTTTTCCTTGATGTTGACTTCATGGCTAAATTAAAGCAGTTACCTGTCTGTTTTTTTCAAAGGGTTTTGATTTACACAGGGCTAAATGTGGTGTTCTTCAAAGCAAGTGCTCATTCTTTTTTCAATAATAGGTTTGAGAAGGGCATGTCAGTTTGACACGGGCTTTTAACCAGCTCAGATTAGCTATAGATAGATATATAGCTATATATTTACACCTTCACGCCGCAGGTAATTGAAAATAAAACACAGCGGTTTACCTTTTAAATTGTACCTGGCTGTAAACAATTCATCCCCCCCCCCCCAAAGAACTTAGCCTTTCTGTGTTAGCTGAGCTCACCTGTATGGTGTACCTTTAAACCGCCTTTAAAGCACATGTGCTTTATACACCTTTTTACCCAGAGTTGCATTTGCCCCCCTAGGGCAGTCTTATTAAAGCATTTTCTCGTAATTATTACATACTTGTGGTAAGAACATAGATATGTCCTGTTGTGTAATACTTCCGCTTGAACAGCTACATAGGGATCTAAAATACGTGTTTATTTTTTTTCTTTCCCCCACCTTAAGTCAATTCATTTGCAGAGAGTCGACCTGTTTTTCTTTTTCTGTAGAGACACTTTCTAAGTCCGGTTACTTTGGATTGTCTGCCTTTGTTATCCGACTGGCTGATTTAGATGAGAATTGTGAATGGCTAGTTAGATCTAAAAGCAGTCAAATTAAAAAAAATTTCAGGGGGTGGGAGAAAAAAATCAGATTCTTGGGACTAAGGTAAACTAAAGAAACAAAGATAATGAACTTATAAGAGGCATGAGACATTATTTTTTGATATCACTTTTGCAATTTTGTATGTTTTACAATATTCTTACCGAAAAAAAAAAAAACCCCCCCCCCCCCTGGAAATTCTGGAATGTTAGTTAACATGTTAAATTCCCCCCAAAAATAAATTATGTGCCATTATGGCTCTTAAAGGGTTAGTTTTATTCCCTAAATCTTTGTAATGGCACAAAACAAACATTATTATGCAAATGCCAAATATTGAGGTTATTTTGGCTCAATTGCTAATTTCCATGTAATTCAGACAAACTGTGGTTGTGTATACCTATATATGTTGTATTTTTTTTTTGTCTTAGAAATGTTTGGTCATGCAATCTGTTTGATGTTGGAGAATGCTTTAATATCACTAAAGAGAGGGAGGATCCGGTATCTAAAAGTTAAAATATGTAGGGTGTGATAAGGAAGTGTGTTTTGTGGATTTTGCTTTTTTTTCCTCCTAAATATCTTTATTCCCTGGCGGCGTTAAGGAAACAGAGATCCCCCAGGAGCTGATCGAAAAACTGTCGCACAGCGAAATCCACAGCATCAGCGACTTACAGCGGCTTCTGGAGATTGATTCCGTAGGTAAATTCAATTTCTTTTTTACCTTCTCCAAAGCTCCAGGTAGATGGGTGGCTCCCTGGTCACGTATTATAATGCTCTATCTCTTAGAATTGGTTTGGATTCTGCACGGTGGTGGGGTGGGGTGTAGGGAGGGCGGGGATTGAGGGATGATAGTTCAGATGAATGAGTAAGGAGGCCAGATTTCAAAGCCATAAACAGCAGCTGAGCTGAGTCAAGCATTGATAAACCAACTAGGCTTATAATGAGTAGGTGTGGTGTTATTCTCAAGGGAGGGAAGCCCAAACACATTGCAAGCTTGCATAGAAGGCCAGCTCTCTTCATGTTCATTGCCTGCTATGTGAAACAAAGTAACACGCTACCAGAAGAGGAAGCTATAAATCCCGTAAGGCAACATGGATGAGATATTTATTATTTTTTCTATTTATTTTCTTTGCTTTTATTTGGCTGTAGGTTTCATGAGATATATCTTCTTCTTCCTTTCATTTTATTTTATTTTGCTTTTATCTGGCTGTGGTGTTCAGTCGACCTGTTGATCAAAGACTCAAAGTATGAAAATAGAAATTTAAGGATACCTATGGAGATATCAATGTTTGACTTTGAACTGTTTGATAGCAATATTCTGGGAACAAAAATGGTTTGATGGTTGACAATCAATTGTAATCAATTTGCTCTGCTTGTACTGAACATACCTTCACCCCAAACTGCATATAAATTACTTTTCGTCTCGATTGTCAAGTATTCAGTAGTTGTAAACATAATGTTATTTATTTAAATGCCACATGGGTGTAACTGCATTTCAGTTTATTTTTAACTTCATATTGTCCCTTTAAGACCTGTACCATTTTATGTGTATGTATGTGTGTGTGTGTGTATATATATATATATATATATCTATATATATATATATATATCTCGAATCAAGCATACCTAGTTTGTGCACCAAAGATAGTGTTTATGTCTTTGGCCTCGTTGTGTCTCTCCTGTCCTGATTTTGAAACCAAAACCTTCATCCAGTAGCATCGATAGAACCATTAGCCAATCATCCTAACGTTTCTCAAATTAAAGAATGGGACAAGTGGATCGCAGTTTGAAAAGGAAGGTATATTGAGTACTAGCTGCTTAGGAGACGATGTGAAGCCTAGAACATTACTATCATTGACCTATTCAGATTGCGCTAAATGGATGATCTATAAATCGTCTTGAAGGGATTAATTTTAAGAGTATCTGAAAAATGGCACAGAAGAGATGGAGGTGCCAAGTTCAAGACTTATGGAAAAAGTATTTAAAGTCAGGAGTGGCATATTTTAGAACTAGAACTGTTCAAGTCACATTATTTTGACCAAATTAGTGAAATCTTGCTTTTCGGGGGATAATTTTCTAGCCATTAAAAACACATAAAAATCTTAAATATATTGTTGTCAAGCAGTTTGTAGAACAGTGTAACTGTCTTTCAGGAAGATATTTTTTTTTAAACGTACACACCCGCCAATGCGAAAGGGGTTGTTAATATTGGTGTAAATAATGTAGAATTTTTTTTTTTTATAAACATGCATATTTATTATATAGTTTAACCGCAGCCGTGTACTCTCAAGAAAATGTTTTTGAAATAATGTGTTATCGTGTTTAAAAAACAAAACAAAAAAACACCACGCTGTTTTTGTAATACAATTTCAACATATCCCTCTTAAAACCCTTTCAAAACTGAAATAATTATTCCAATTATCTGGGATTACGCGGCACTAAGCATTTTATAGTTTTCTACCTGTTGACAAGGATAATTTTTGTGAGCTGTAAACAAGAGGAGATTAGACTTGGTGATGAAGAGAGTTGAGAATGGAAGCAGTATTAAGATCTTGTCTATAATGAAGTTTCTTTGGGTGGCACCTTCCCTTGAATACATGCCTTCAGCAATTTTCTTTCTTTTGAAGTCATGCTGGGATCTCCTTAATTCGGCCATAGGCATAAATAATAAAGAGTAATTATTTTTAGTTGTAGGGTATTAAGACTAATCAATTGTGCAGGATCAGCAAGCTTGCTGCAACAAGACTGCAAGGCTAATTTCCTCTACTTCCATACAATTGTTAAGCAGAGTTGTACAACACAGAAATCCACTTGTCTCGTTCACGTTTGCTTGCGTATAATTGGGAGGATATTTGTATAGGGTGCCTTTTTCTGCTTCACAACCTCCCTCATGCTGGCTGGTTTTGAGTAGGCAATGAAGCAGGACAGTTACAGACGAAGCTGATTGTGCAGATTGAAGATTAAAGACGCTTTTTATCTCTTTGAAAAGAACAAAAACACCCCCAAAACTCCAAGCTTTCTTCAATAAAGTCTAAGCGTGACTTTCAATGCATCGTGGTAAAACGGTTCCATGTTAGTATATGTAAACAGAGCATTGCGTGCAAAAGTGTATGAATGTGTACACAGCCATAAGATTCTCACATTTTTATTTTCAGTGAGAAACTTTTTTTTTTAATTTTATTTGAATAATTGTTGCGATAATAGACAATAAACAAGGTTGACCAGCAATGTATAAAATGAATATGTTGCACTTTTGGGATTAAGTATTCTAGTGGTCTCCTTTATCAGAGAAGAACACATGCGTTGCCTCCTATAAGGTCTGTTGTATTTAGGAGGTGTATGTAGTAGGTGATGGTATTTGGTACTGATGATCACCAAACAGAACAGGATGGTCTAATTCAGTGATGGCTAACCTTGACACCATAAATTGTTTCTGGACTACACTTCCCATGATGCACAGCTAGCTTTTAGAGTGTAAAAGCAAGCTGAGCATCATGGGAAATGTAGTCCAGAAATAATTTATGGTGTCAAGGTTAAACATCACTGAACTAGTTTGATGTTTTATTGAATTTCTTTTCTGGTTGTGGGTGAGCACCACCAGAAAAAAAAAGACGTTGGCCACGATTGTCCAGTTTGATGTTTCATTGAGTTGGTTTGTTCTTACTTTTTGTGATGACCACCAGAAACACTCCAGTAAGCATTGTCTAGCCTGGTCCGATATTATCTAACTGGTTGCATTGTAAAATACTCTAGTTAGGGTATCCTTGTTTAAATTTCAGTTTGTTTATTTTGCTTAGCTGGTAGTCTGGCAGATGAGCACACATTCGCCTACTATTGTCATGATCCATAGTCAGCTGGCACTCTGATCCCCTGATAGAGGAAGCAAATTTTATCATTCTCAATCTTGTGGACTAAAAATAGAACGTTTGACATGTGAGACAACATGAATTTCCCATTAACCACCCATCCCCCCCACACACATGTAACAGTCTTACAGCTTGTTCCAAAATTTGCATATGCAAATCTAAATATTGTAATGCAAATGAAATTAAAACCTGTTACATTTGGATCTATTTATATTCCAAAAAATGGCAAGTGAACTTGATGATGACCATCTAATGACATCGATGCAATGTATTTATTAAAAAGATTGGTGAAATAGATCTCACTGGAAAAATATGCATAATTCTCGTCATATTGTGCTGTGGTTACATATTCATTCGAGTTTTCTCGTTGAGGCAGAAGGAGCATTGATGAAAGTAAACTGATTCTATTTTATCAGTGCAGATTATTGCTTGCCAGCAGACCCTGGTGGCCAACAACAACCGAAGATTAATAGATATCTCTGCTTAATCAAGGTTAAAACAGATTACACAAAGGAAGGTGTCACCACAAGAGGGGTCATGTTGATAATGTATCCATTCTTCATGGAGTTGTACTACTGAAACATTAAGTGGTGCATGCATGCTGACATGCACACGCTCAACCTGACACCGGTGTGTGAAGTGTGGATTGATGCATGGTGCATGCATGCTTCATAATGCACTTGTGGTACAGTTTTGGCAGATATTCTGTTGGCATTGCAGTTAACAAGTTTCAGAAGGCTACTATCCTGGTAGATCTGACATTAAGACATATTGGAATTCACCCAAGACAACCTTGAAGTATGGATAATTTATAAAAATTCATAGTCAAAGAATAATTTGCAAAGTCTAAAAAATGTTCTGCCTTCCCAAGAAGCAAATAAATCTTAAAATAAATTATTGCTTCAACCCCCTTTAAACATATCCCACAGATATTTACTATTTAAAGTAACTCTATAGCGTTAAGAATACAAACGTATTCCTAACATAATATCGTTTCCCTTCTTATGCTCTGCCTTCCTGGCTGAGATTATTAGTCTCGATGATCTCAGCTAATACAATGCTTTCACACAGAAAAGCATTGGGACGGTCGTGCGCATGCACAGCAAAATGACCCACTGCAATAATCAAATACTCTAAATGAGTAATTTGAACTGAAACTGAGTTAAGCTTGGTTATAGCTGCACAAGTGCCTCAATTGGCTATCTTCCTACAAAACACCAATGTTTAACATTGTAGGGTTAAACAACAGGGACTGGGCACCAAGACCAATTCATTGAATTGAAGTGGTCTGGGTGGCTATAGTGTCCCTTTTAAAACTCCTTGGTTTTATTGATGTCTTCACTCTGGAATGTTCCCGAGAGCAATGAAAGGGTTATACACATTATACACATTGTTTTATTAAAATCCATTATGAATCCAAATAAATCTTTTTTTTGGTTTGTCAGAATATTCCATAAACCAGTTCTCATGGTTGTAAGTTCTCGAGAGAGAAGGGGAGGGATGATAAGGAGGATATAGTGTGTGTAGATGAGGGGAACATTTAGTAGTAAGAGGAGAGATGTATCAGGGAGCAGACAGACAGGTGGGAAGCGTAAGGAGGGAAGACGATCAATTCAGTTTTAGGGGACTGCATTTCAGTTAGTGGTGGGACATACATGGAAGACAACAGAGGGATAGTTACTAATGTAAGATACAAAAGATCAGGAGAAGTGAGGTTAATCCTCTTTATATCAGCACAAGTGATACTGGAACCAAGGTTGCGAGGAGAAGAGGTCCAGAAGGGAAAGAATGGGAAAGGAAGAACTGTTTATGGAAGCACACAAATAGAATGTGGATGATGTTACCAAGTAAGAAATGACTGGATAGATATGACACGAGCCAGACAAGAGACATTCCATGAACAGACCAAGGAAATCAGGGCAAGAAGCATCTGTCAACAGTAAAAGGCAGTAGATAGTTTCCAGAGTGTTAGTAGGGAAAATTACCCTTCTTAGTACATGGAGATCATTTTGTTGGAGGACTTCGTTAAGGCTCTCTGAATTGTGTGAAGTGGTTGAAGACTAGACTAAGATAGCCAGAAAGGTTATTTGAGTAGAACAAGTTAATTAAGCACTTAATTAAGACACAAACCACTCAAGTGCTTTCAAGACAGAAGGGAGGATTACTGTTGGTATAATCGAAATATTGCATGTATTATAGGAACATGTTCTGAGTAGGATTTGTCAGTTCCGGTAGGTAGAAAGGTTAATGAGGTGTGTAAATAACAAGCCTAGTGTAGAGAAGTGGGAATCAATGGGGTGGGTAAGGGTCAAAGGAGAAACTTGTAGGAAATGAAAAGGAAAGAAAATAAGAACTCTTCCACACTCAAAAACCTTTATCAACGAAGTCTGGGACATTTGGAGAAAGAAATTATAACATAATAAACAATGATATATATATATATATATATATATATATATATATATATATATATATATATATATATATATATATATATATATATATATATATATTGTATGTAAAGTACACAAAAAAAAACCCTTTATCAACTCAGTAGAAGACTATTTGTGCTGCTTCTTGTATACCATAAAAGTTCAATACGAGGCTGAAATGTCTCTTGTCAAAAATATCTTTAGATTTGCAACATTATGTTTTGCAAATTAAAAACAATATGTTGATGCTTTTCTGCATAGGAGAAAGCCGGGACTTAATTAGTGATTGATAATTAAGCTCTATCGAGGGAGACATGTAAGAATTTCCTTTTATCGTCTGTCATCTCCCAACTTTTAGCTTTTTTTTTCTTGTATTGTTCCTAACAGTTTATTTTGTTTTGGATCTGTGAATACAGAAATATCTGATCACCTGGTGCATGTACTAATTTTCAGCATATATTTCCTCTAATCAATGGATGCTTCATGGTTTAAAAACATTGATGCACACAACCTTGAAAATGTCCAATTTCTTTGTGTAGCAACTACAGGTATAATTACAATATCTTGATCGGAATAAAATACTACTAAGCTGTTAAGTATATTGTTTTAAATTGTTTATACCTGGTCATTCTAAGCGTGCAGAATTGCATTAAGATGGGAGTCAGGTAGATGATCTCCCCATGATTGTATATAAGCTCATAGTTCCAAATGGAATCTTTACTACACCAAACCTGGACGGCTAATGGCATTGATATTAAATGAAGAAAGTATTCACTCAAAATAGAAATAAGGACAGGATGAGGTTCAGTTTGGATTGCTATAAGTGGAGCATAATTGTACAAAAGCAAAGTCTGCCTAAATTTATCTTCTTTTTTTTAGATTGGCAGGTGCACTGTTGTCCCTTGCCAATAAAGATATTCTAGCTCTGTTCGGGAATAGCTTTTACATGCATTTTTAGCACATCCGGGCCCTTAATCCTGTGTGCTTTGTGGGTTGGCACCCAGTATCTTAAACCAAAATAAAGAAAAATATAATACATTTTTTATTTTTTTATGTTTTTTATCTTTGGTACAACTTATCACCATTATAATTTCGTTAGCTTGTTTAAATAGCTAAATTACAAATAAAGATCGATGATTGATAAGAACCAATTAGCTCTTCTGTTATGCCGGTTTCATATCTAAAAACCCAAACATCCTTCTATCTGGAATTTGTTTTCTATGTTCTATTCAGGACATCAAGATGTCTTTGCCAGTTTTATGACCATCATTTAGAGTGTGGTTTGAGGATCTATATTAATATATGTGAATAAGTCCTCCTGAATTGTTCTATGCTACTTTACCTTCAGGGCATGAACCTTGTGTGTTGTAGCTGTCTTTTGGTGCATTATTTGCATTAAGTTGTTACTCATGCATTTTGTAATGGGAAGTCAAAAAAGTATAGTGGCAGTGTGAGCACCATGACTACTGCATGGGTCTGGGTCCACCTGTTTTGAAGGATGTTGACCGAAACTGGGGGCTTCTAAGGCATAGCCCCCACTCAGATTGCAGATCGCAAATACTGAAATTCTAATTTGCAATATCAATTTCTTTCACATTTACGTGGCAGTGATAGAAAATATGATATTTTGTATATAATGAAAATTGGTCAAATTCCATTTTGTTTCTGGTTTCCTTTAAATTAAAGTTGTGTGGAAAGGTTACTGAGATTCAACCAGACGTTCTTATAATTAATAAAGAACGCAGTTGCTGGATGCCTGTTATAATCTGAGGAAAGCGTGTGTAGGCTTGGCCGAGGTGCTGTTTGATTAGATGAGCATGAAAATAATATGCGTCTTCATCTTCGTGTTGGTCCACATGAATTATTGTGAATTCAATCATGTTGTGTCTATTCGGCCAGATAGATCAATTCAAGGAGCCTTCCTCTCAAGCTTCAAAAAAATGTAATTGAGTTTTCTGGCATTTGTTAAAAAGAAATCCAATTGAAAAAGCTTTCCATGTATGGCAGCTTATTATTTAGTTGACTTGGCTAGCCTCCATTTTACCATTTTGTAGGTAATGAACAAGTTGCATTTTCAGATACATTACGGAACAAGCCAGAACTAATTGTCGTTATATTTTATCCATTCTCTAGACCTTGTCAGTACATAGACACATAAAAAATTAAAGTGAAACTATTTGGGTCTGTGCCACTGAAGCATTGTAAATGTATGGCTGGCTACATTCACCCCACGCCCAGAATTAAATTAGTCCACAAAGGAACATGGTAGCCAAAATACAGCAACAATAAACCATGAACAAGGTCTCCTAAAATGGCTGATTTCCAAACATGAGTAAAGTACATGCGTTGTACATTGTTGGTGCAAAGGTAGATCTTCAACTATTGTGCAATTACCATAATGCTTTGCCAGTTGGGGATATACCACTTGCCCATCCCTGCAGAGTTGTATTTGTGAGCAGTGCTGATCTGTTTGAATGTAAGCATGTTTTTGCATGGATTAGATGTGTGAATATAGGGGTGTATTTGTGTTTAGTGTTGGCATTTGAATACAGCTGTTTATTTGTATTTACTATTGCCATTTAGATGCAGTGGTGTATTTGAACGCAGGTGTGTGTAGAGTTGGCATTGGAATGCTGGGATTTATGGACATATACAAATACACTGCCACTTATTATTATTATATTTATATAGTGCCAACAAATTCCATGGCGCTTTACAAAGGGTGGACTTACAAACATATAATTGTAACCAGACAAGTTTGACACACAGAAACATGGGTTGAGGGCCCTGCTCAATGAGCTTACATGCTAGTGGGAGTGGGGTATAGTGACACAAAAGGTAAGGGAAGTTTTAGGGAAGTAGATTGGTAGAATAGTACTCAATGAACACTTTGTGTGCGTGTTTTGTTTTTTTTTGTGAGCCATTAACAGTTTAATTGATACGCTTTTGTGAAAAAGTGAGTTTTTAATGATTTTCTGAAATAGTGGAGACAGGGTGAGTGTCTAACGGAAAAGGGAAGGGAGTTCCATAGGAACGGTGCAGCTCTAGAGAAGTCTTGAATGCGAGCATCAGAGCTGGGAGTATGAACAGAGGATAGATGCAGGTTTTAGGCAGAGCGAAGGGGCCTTGACGGACATACATTTACTGACACAGATACACATACAGATACACACATAGAACACATAAAAATACACACTTAGACCAACACATATACACATACTAACACACACACATTCAGGGCATTATTTGCATATTTATAGCCACCAGTGGTGTCTGGTGACATTTCAGGTTGGTTGGTCACAATCTTAAGTGACAGGCACCTGCTGTTGGAGTAGTGTGTGTAACTATGTGGCTGGGGTGCTGGGCTTGGGGCTGCCAGGGTCTGAGGGGCCTGTAACACTGAAGTAAGGCAGACACCTCTTCTAACTCTGTGTGCCTGCCTTAATTTGCTATATGGGGGAGCTCAGGGTCTAAATGGATGGGGGAGCTGGGTGGCAGGCACAGTAAGTGTGGTGCTTGCCCGTGTAACAGAGAAGGGAGCCAGCCGGTCATGCTATGTTTTACTTCTCACTAATGGTGTGCGGCAGGCACGGCTGTAACATGAGGTGTCTGCTGATCTGCGTCTCTCTGCCGGTTCAATAAGACCAGGCAGCGCAGGAGCCAGCAGTGGAGTGCAGAGAGAGGCAGATACTTCCTTTTATCAAACAGACACATTAAAACTGGTAAGGGACTGCATCAGCTGCCCGTATGAAAAAGCCTGCACTGATAGCCATTCTCCTGTTTCCATACCTTTTGAGTGCAGGAAGGTGGATTCCTTGTAGTCTAATGGGATCTGGCTGGCTGAGGCTGCTGTGAGTCTGAGACTGGTCCAACGCTCTCACCCCACCTCTGCCTCCTTCTCTGTCTCCCTTCCCTCTCTTTTACCTAGGAGGAAGTCACATAAACTCACTTCCTTCCAGCACTGCCAATCTAAAGCTCGGTTGCATTGTTAAATTCTATGGTGAGCCTCATTAGACTTGCTCATTGTGGGGTCCTAAGTGTGTGAGACACCTGTGGGCCCCGGTGCCGGTGCATCGTGTACCCTTGAACTAGCAACATGGTTGTGGTTATTTAGTTAATTATGACACTTAGAAAAATGATCGGGTGCTGCAGCCCAAATTTCTATAAATCGCGACCTCAAGACCTTATTTTGTGCTGTATGTCCATGTATAACTTACCCCTTTTTTACCCATCGTATTGCCAGCTGCCCTATTTTTAGAGGCCATGTATAAATGTATGTATGTACATTATTGATATGGAAGGAAATCTATAAATTAATTAATGCAGGGATATCAAAAGAACTTTCATAAATATGTAAATCTCAATGACATATTTAATTAGATCCAGACAGTTAACATGTCCTGGGCCGGCAGATGCAAAATTTACATACAGGGATAAAAAAACGCTAAAAATATTTCCTAGTGATTTGTGACCATGTGCTCATATGTGGATATGGTGATTTAACAAAGACCATATTTTAGTGAAAGCTAAGCTTTTAGTAGTTGTGGACTTTTCTTATCATTATGTACAGTTAACTGAATTACTCTCTGAACCTCATGTGTTTGGTAGTCCACAACATTTGTTGTGTAAAACGTTAGTACCAGTGTACTTTTTGGCAGCAAACCACAGAATGCAATAGTGCCATTTTTTGACCACGATTTAAATATTTTTTTTTATTTTTTGATTATTCTTATTTAGCCCATTATACTGAAGCTTTTACATAGAAACATAGAATGTATTTATAGTTAAATCCCCCTCTTATAATATTGTAAAGCGCTACAGAATCTGTTGGCGCTTTATAAATGGCAATTATAATAATAATAATAATAATAATAATGTGCAAGAAGATAAGAACCATTCAGCCCATCTAGACTGCCCAATTTTCTATTATTAGTCCCTGGCCTTATCTTATAGCTAGGATAGCCTAAAGCCTATCCCACGTATGCTTAAACTCCTTCACTGTGTTAATCTCTACCACTTCAGCTGGAAGGCTATTCCATGCATCTACTACCCTCTTAGTAAAGTAATACTTTACTTGGATGCTGTGTGTTACATTTAGAAACAAATCTATTCCGGATAATCGGTGCAGTCCAATTGTATTTGTGACCTTTTTTTTGCAAGGCATGAAATTATAGGTGTTTATTAATTTGCATTAAATGCCAGACTGTGCCATGATGACCTTACATTGGATTCAGAACATCTAACTTTTAATTAGTTACTGGAATGTTCCGTTGTTCGATTACCTGCATTTGGCGATTCTGATTTTAATTTGACACAATTTGTAGTTTCTATATATTTTTTTTTCCATTTCCTGTGTTTTGATGAATAAACTTGGTAGCAAATTTTGCTATAAAAAAGTATAGCACTATTCACTCAGATGTTAACTGCAAGTTACAGGCCCCTATAAATGGTATAATACATGATTCTTGTGGATGTAGATTGGTTTATTGAGAGGTTTGGCAGACAATGTCTGGGTTGGGCATTCTGGATCATATTACTCCGTTCTATGTAGAAAAATAGCCTTTGTAATGAGTCATTACCTGTAAAATGATAGCCTTTTTTAGAGACTAAGAAAAACACAGTGGTCTATTCAACAAAAACGTCTTATTCCTCAAAGAATTAACACCTCTGGTATTAACTGAGTAGCTCTAGCTTGGCCTTATCCATGTCACAAACTTAGGAATCCTCGAAAGATCTTTGGATTTATCACAATTAAAATAATTCATTCGGGTTGCTCCTGGTTTTGGCAACCTAACTTCGTAATTAAAATGTGTTCAGTGCACGGCCTGGCCAAATGTAACTTTTCAAAGGAAAAAACATTCTGAAACTAAGGTCAATCCAATAACCTTTATTGCGTGTGGTAGGTGTGATAAGATTGGTTGGCAAGTATGATAAGATATACTCATAAAGCTACACATTTCTACATTATTCCATCAGAGGTGATTTGTATTTTGATTGACTCACGAGAAGGCATATCTGCAAACTGTGGCAAGCTACGAAACTAGAGACTTGAGTTGACATAAAACATACCATCCCAAATAGGACCACCAAACTCATTATTTGGAATGGTCAACTTTGTATAGAATAATATATGCTGATAACAGAAGCTAAATAATAAAAAATCAAGGAACTAAATACTATTAGAGCAAAGAGTAACCTGTGCAAAATATACAAATTTACTGAAATAACTTACATTTTTGGAAGACCTGACTGTTGGCTTCTAGACTGAACAACATGTTATTAAATTGGGGTACAGATGTTTAAAAGGTCAACCAGAATAATGATAAATAACTCTCATTTCATTGGGATATTTAAGACAGAAGGGTACCTCAACCTAAAATTTGTACAGTGAACCTACAGTGTAAGGTCATCCACACATACTGATACATTGAACCCATTCACAGGTTTGGCAGGGTAGGGCAATACCATTTGCATCTCAATGTGTTATAAGAAACAGAACCGCTCCCTCAGTTTAATTTGTGGACTGAGCAAGTAGTTCTCTCTTACATTTTGTGTATATAGGATGTTGCGTAGGATATACTTTTTGTATTAACAAATAAAATCGATCGTCGATTCCATTTTTGTCTATTTAAAAAAAAAAAAAGAAGGTTCTCTTTTTATTTTTATTTATTTATGCTCTGCTCACAAGTGTTTGAGAGACATAATAAGGAAAACATAAACTGTACCAGCAGATATTAAGATAAAATGTCCCGAAACAAATTAACCCATGAGCCGAGGGTTTTATGTGTTTATGAGCTAAGGCTAAGTTTATGGGGACCTACTGGAGACTGGCCCTAAGCTAAAGTTCTGTAGGCTGTGCCAGAAATGCCTAGGTCATTACAAGGAGGTCTACCGCAAGGACTGTGGCTGAGTCTGAGTCAATTAAGGGCAGCATGTTTGGAAGGAAGGTGCTTTTTCATTCTGAGCTTGTTGCTTACCAACAATTACATTTCCATTCCCCAAGGCTTTCTTCCCTCAGTAGGCAACGTGGAAATATTCCTAAGGTCCTCCATTACAAAGTTCCTGACGTCCAGTACCAAGGCCATTGGCAAAAACTAGCAGGATAAGAACTGGGGGAAATAGCCTTAGTAGACTGGAGTACGATACAGGGACGGGTATTTGCAAGTGAAAAAGGCCCCTTGCTCTATATACTTGAGAAGAAATTTTATATCTGTATTTTCTTTTATGCAACCTGCTATTGTGTTTTTTTTTTTTTTCCCTACCTTAAACTTGTTAATTTTTACTTCACAGGAAACGATGATGCTTCAGGAACAAGTTTAAGAACACAAACACACAACCTCCATCATAATAGACATGTACAAGAGAAGCGTTCTGTGCCGAGCCGCAGAAAGAGAAGCATCGGTAAGCATGTATTAATAGGCATATATTGCAGAGGTGTGGAACCTTGGATATCCAGCTGTCAGAAGCTGGCTCAGAATTCTGGAATGTGTAGTTCAACCACATCTGCTAAGCCAAAGTTTAATTCCTCTGAAATAGTGTGGGTTTATTGTATCTATTTTTATTTCCCTTCTTTTTTTAAGGCATAATAAATAAATGTATACATTTAAATAAAATATTTACATAATAAACATGCCCGTGTATACACATTGAGAATTTCAGAATCTTGTTCTTTAATTTTTTTTTAAATTCCTTTATTTTTAATTTTGTTCATCTGTGGGATTAAGCATCATATGTCAGCCAGAAGACCTCATATGTTAAATATTATTATTATACTACTGAAAAATTAAATAATTCTTTGTGGTATTTCTAATTTGCCAAAAGTAATTGAGATCATTCTGTACCAATTATAGTCTAGAATGCTCCTATTGGCCATTACCGTGTTCTTTATTAAAGAAAGAATGTTATTTAAAAATAAAAAATAAAAAAATTAATCTCGTTAGTGCTTAAACTAACAGTTACCTATTTAAAGATTGATTTTTTTTTTTTTCTATAAAGTTGCACTTTAACGTCAATAAATAAATTCAAATTCTCCTAGTTGCAAAGAAATTGTATGAAATATTTTGAATTCAATTTATTTATTCATTTTGCAATAAAAGTATTGACGACATTAAATGTTAAGGGATATATGAAAATTTAAGGGAATTGGTTCCTAAATGAGTGAAAAAATAAACCAGAAAAATTGTGTAAAAGATTGTAATGCAAAACAAAGGGAAGGAGAATTAAGAAAGTCCACCTGTACTGTATATCATGCTACAGTACTTTGCGTGTTGCTTTCGGACTAAAGAGGAAAGGGGCCATGATCCGTGAGGTGTGGGTTTTCATGTTTTCCACGGTGTTCATATTTTTATAACAGTGTATTATTTCAATAATTTTTGCGAGGTTTTTGTATCTCATATCTGAACTTCTTTATAACTTTACCTATCTGTTACATATTTACACACATGAGTGACAATATTCTTCCAAACTGGAAATATCAGGTACAAATTAATTATGAAACAGACGTCAGGGGCAGCACTATTGCTGTGAAACCATATAAAATATTGGAATACTCAAGCTACTGCAGATGTGTCACATGACCAGTGTTGACATCTGACGTGCCTCACTCCATGTGCACTTGCTGGGACCTTGACAATCAGGTCACATGACCCTGTGGACGAGGCTTTTTTCTTCCATGTTACTATACCATAATGTCACCTTAGCTTGAAAATTGGATATCAGATTTGTGATATTATAAAGAAGAGAAACCTTTGAAATAGTACTTACCATGTTAGTAATTCACTTTTCAACCCAATTCTTATTTATTTTATAGAGGAAGCTGTCCCTGCGATTTGCAAAACAAGGACTGTTATTTATGAGATACCTCGCAGCCAAATTGACCCAACATCCGCAAATTTTCTGATATGGCCACCGTGTGTGGAAGTGAAAAGGTGCACAGGTTGTTGCAACACCAGCAGCGTCAAATGTCAGCCATCACGGATACACCACAGGAGTGTCAAGGTAAGGAACCGCGTTCTACTCATTCTATACTGAGATATTGGACTTCTCATGATAGTTCTCTTTAAAGATGAAGTCATGTCAAATGTGTGAAAAGTCCTTTTCTTTTGTCCTGGAAATGTAAAATTCTCAGTATTTGTTAGCATATAAAAATATTAATGGGATATAGCGACAGATTTCATAAACAAATCTGGGGCTAAAGACAACTTGGTATTGACCCTCTAATCTGAGATACATGCGCGTTATTAAAGAATATTAAACTTTGTGAGAAAGAGCCATTAACTCAGACACAACACAGAAGCTGGGTGTTATATATACTGGGATACCCCTGTGTTTTATTGGGGGGAGGTAGTCCATTACTAGTGTTGTGGTTATGGTGTTTAGAGTACCGCTTTAACAGTGAGTTCACAACCGAATTACAAAGTGTAGGTCGTAACAGCGGAGTTGGTAAAAAAAAATAAAAAAATGTTTGTCCTAAATTTAACCACAAGGTCTAAATTTCCCAGAGTGCACTGTTTAGTGAGGAAACCCACAGGTATTTTCTGTGAAACGGCAGCCTGTGTTTATACTGTGATGCACTGAGGGAGGGTCTGTAAAATGTCAGAAGGTCAAAGTGGATGTTAGGAAAAGGATGTCGGTTGATTCTGGAATCTAACCCCCATCACCTACTTATTAAACAATGAAACTCAGTGTGCGGTTTACCACAGCACCATCGTACTAAAGAATTGGGCTATTTCAAAGGCAGTATTTTGCAAATCTGGCTGCCTTTTGTGTGGCGTCATTTAGCAAATTTTTCGAGAGGGTCACAGAGGATGTGGTAGAAAGTGTACTGGTGGCCGGCACATAGTTTTCATGGAATATCTGCTTGTGCGTGCATGATGCCTTGCTGTATAAAGGTTTTACTATTTTTTGATCAAACACGTAATTGTATTTATATTTTTTCCTTCTCTCCTTGTGGCTGAGCCCATAGCACAGAGATCAAACTGTGTAGCTGAGAGGTTAGATGGGAACACTTACTGATAATGTCAGTTCTGAAAAGTAAATCTTGCATAGCTTAGTATTTTCACTTTAAGACAAAACATTTTAAGTCCAAAAACATCTCATTGCCTACAAGTCCTCTATTAGGTTGCAAGTGTCTAAAAGTGGTCAGAGGCATAGGCAATTCGGAAGCCTTAAAGGTATACTATTAGTGCTAAGAATACAAACCTGTTTTCCTGCTACTATGGCCCCTCTGCCTACACCCTCCCTTGCATCTCCCCTTTTTAGGTGAATAAAGGATCAAAAATCCTTTATTTACTTACTCCACCCCAGCACTGAAGTTCCTTGGCGCTGGGTCACGGCTCTGCCTCCGACAGTGCTCGATAAGAGGGCACTAATGCTTTCCTATGAGGAAAAATCTGACGCTGAATGTCCTCATGCAGAGTGTGGGGACGTCCAGCGTCAGATACTGTATAAAGGTCCTTTAGGATGCAGGAAGCGCCCCTATTGGTTGTCTGGGAGACAGCCACTGGAGGCAGACTTAGAGCTGCAATGTAAACACTGCAGTTTCTCTGGAACTGCAATGTTTTACCTTGCAGCACTAAATGCAATAGGGACAATGCACCCAGACTACTTCAATGAGCTGAAGTGGTCTGAGTGCCTATAGTGTAACTTCAAATGATCTTGCAGTTTTGAATAAGACTCTGATGTCTCTTCACTGTACCAACAGTACTTTGGATCTCCAATGAAAGGATCTCAGATTCTCTAAAATGCTACCCACTCACAAATTAATATAGCAGAACGTTTTAAAAAAAACGTTAAAAAAAACAACCAAACAACTTAATTAAACTTCTGTGTAATAATGAACGCAGTTAATTAACTGGGGAGGGCTTATTCACTTATCTTCCCTGCCCACCTAACAGTAGAGCGAACACGCTGTGCAGGGGGCGGTCTTACCTGTTATGGCCCGGCAAAGGGTAAAGAGGGCGGCCAGGGTGGCTGATAATTTGCCTCACCAAGCGAACCTTTCACCGAGATCTGCTGAAGCACTTTGTGCAAGGTCCAAGTGCTGCGTTACATCTGCATTTTGAAATCTGCCATCAATTCAAAATGCGAGCGAGGTTCCTATGACTTATCTATGCGAGGACAATACCCCAAAGTGCAGGACTATCCCAGAATATTTGGGACAATTGGCACCTATTAAAAGTATATTGTGATGAGCTGACATCCAAAAATATAGGTTAAAACATCAGAGTTGGAAACCACCTTCCTGATTCCACTCGCTCTATCACCTAACTACCTTAAACAGTAAGAGACTCCACTGTTGTATAGAATCAGTTGTCTTCCTAATAGCATTTAGAAAACGTCTAAAAAAAGTCACCCATTTCAAAAACATTTCCCTTGGCACTTTAAACCCCCTTAATGGTTTCCTCTGATCCCGAATCACCAGTTCCTCCTAGAACAGCTCATATGACCTCTCCACTTCCTTATATTCTTTATTACCAAAATGTATCCCCGTCACCCCCTCCTGCTCATTGGCACTGCCGTATAAGACTGATACTGTAGGTAGGTAATGCATATACAGGCTATTATGGGAATTTAAATGGTGACAAAAGGTCAGTAGAGTACAGTTCAACATTTGAGACAAGTCAGCAAGCACATTTTATTACAGACTTCCTCAAAATGCAGTTGTATACTAAAGCAAAGGATTCTGGGTAAACATATTTGTATTTCCCAGGTAAAAGCAGATTATAAGTAAACTGAATTGCACGTGCTTCCAGTTACAATGTATGTATCACAGGCAGCCTGCGTATTGCATACGATTTTTGCAAATGAGTCATCCAGTTAAAATGCGTACAGTCAAAAATAATTATATGTTTAACAGTAACTCTAAAGTCCTGATTTGGGGTTTTAGGCTATTTTAGTGGGTCCCCACAGTTTCGAACATGGATATATACTCATCAGGCCCCCGGCAACTGTCCAAAATGCTACCCGAATATTACTCTTAATGCCATGGCCTTACCAAGTGCTGTAGAAACTCCTTCTAATAAAGGTGATTTTTCAAAGTTATATGGTTTTATATTATATTTCAACAAAGGTTAAGACACTGATCAAGCTAAAACCATCTGTATAATCTGAATTTCCGTGATAAAAAAAAAAAAAAAAGGCTGGATATCGCTGACTTTGGATTGCCAAAAGTTAGCAAGCTGTCTTCGAGGAGACTTAAAAACACTTCCACACACTTGTCCTTGATTTACATCTTGTACTCTTTTGAAATGTGTCAAAAACCTGTACACATATTTACAGGCTGTGTAGAATCTTGTATAAGAATGAAAATATGTGGTGAGATGTGGCGTTCGTTCACGAACAGCTGGAGTGATTGATCACCATGTCTTGCTTTTAAAGCGTCTGTATTCCAAAGAATATGATTTAAGTACAGGGAATACGTTGTTACCGTAGCATTTTTCTTAGTTGGTTAATATCACAATTTTTCATGGCACCCTTCTGCATAATTGGCACCAGCGATGTGCTAATTGTAACCAAACTGTTTAAGGAAACCCCCTTTTTTCCCCTTTTCATAATTAACGCCTACGGCCCTACAGCTCGCACGCATCCTACCCGTATTGCGGTAATTGACATTTCCATACTCTGATATGGAGGGTTTGTTTTGTGCTTCCAAATCTTGTAGGAAGAACATTCATAATTCACATTTTTGTTCTTCAATATAATGAAAGGATTAATTTATTCCAATCTAGCTCTTTTCATAGAGACGCTTCGTTGTGCTATGTTCTGATATGAATGAACATTTTTTTTTAATTCACCCCCCTGCTATTCTGTGACATAATATGCATGCTTTAATATAAGTATCTAAATCCCATATTGTATTTTATATTGTACGGTGACTTCGCTATTATAAAGTTTCTGAAACATTTTCCATTTGGTTGTATGACCTTGCACATGTTCTAACGAGAATAGGTTACATTTTATGGTAATAAAATAAGTTGGGTTATTATTGGTTTGGAGACACAGCAGGGAAAGCTTGGTGCCTGAAAATTCTAGTATCAGCAACAAATTACTTATTTCTGAGTAAGTCATTAAGTTGGAGAAAATGGCAAATGTAGACCTAACCTATTTGTGTCCTATTCTACCTGCAACATAAGACCCCATATTTCAATCAACCAAAGAGAGGCACTTTCATTATAGCTTGGAGAACACTGGCATTCATGACTAAAACACACAATTATTTACTGTGCTATTTATAATAAAGGGAAGATATTTTAGCTCAGCTATTTTTCTTACTATCTTTTAACTAAAAAACATCAGCTTTTTGAGCCTATGAGGGGACAGCGATCTGTTTACCTTTTGACTCTTGACCGTTCAATTCCCGAGTTCTGCCCTACTTTCATGAAGATTATTTCCTCTTTCGCAGTCTTAAATTTAATTCTGAGCTATATATTTTGGCTGTTTTCCACCGAGTTGAAGCTAATCATGACTCTGCTATGGGAAGACAGCTTCTGAACATGCTGTGTGGCTCCTTATTATCATATGAAATCTAGAGTAAAAAAAAAAAAAGACCGTATTTTCCTACTGAGTATTAAGGTCCTCAGAATTAACCCTATGAGACTCTAATGGATGTGTTTATAACAATTACAAATCAACCAAGTGCTAGGCCCTTTAGTACTCTATTTAAACAAAGGACAATTTAGTAGTAGTATTTTTCCAATACTAGTTTTTGATTCAGATTTTGCATAGATGCAGTGTATTTCGCTCTAGAAAGATCTATTTTTCATACCCTCCGGTGTACATCACTGCAGAGTGTGTTTTCACTTGCCCGCTAATGACAAAATGCAGCCCTGGTGAGTACAAATGTATCACTGTTGAGTGTGCCGTGGACTCTCCGAGCTTGCAGTGGCGAACAACATTTTGGATTGTCTAGTAGGGTACTACTAGACATTTTGAGCCTTGCTCAAGCATATGTGCATACATTATGGTACTTGCCTGGATCTGGTACTTGCCTGTGATCATATCTCACATTTGAGGTATGAATGTGAGATAGTGGATGTAGAAGGCCAGTAGATTGTCTGACCATGGCGCAGTGTGTCACATTTTAGCTTGCGTGCATGCGCGTAATTTCAGTTTGCAGTGTGAGAGAACATCTAATTATCCTCTATCACTGTGTCCCCAGAAGTAGAGAATTATGCATATATTTTAAAAGACTGTATTGTTTTAGAATGTGAATAAATTAGTCATTTGCAATTGCAGCTATGCTTTGATTACTTGTATGGCTCTTCAAACAATCAATATCAATTCTGGGCTCAGTCTCTGATCAGTGATAGTGAAAATACATTAAGGTGAGAAACTAATGGCAGCTCATATCTACTATAATATCCAGACTTCCTGGAGTAATAATAGTGAAGATATGCCTGCTGTATAGGTTTGGCAAAGATGCTTTAAATTCTTAGGATACATTCTTTTAGATAACCTGGACATAAGGTGAAGCATTGTTGCCTTTTATATCGAATGGGTCTGGGAATAGAGGCTCGCTGTCTGGATACTGCATCATAATTCTCTTTGATTTACCCAGCAGCCTACCTTAATAAATCAGATTATTAAAATCTTACATAATAGAATACATGTGATGAATGGTCATATTTTTTTATTTGATAATCCCTCAGACTTTGATGTTACAGTAAGTGGTATAGGCTTCAGAAATAAAACCATAATAAAAAAATTTAATAAAAATAAAATCTAATCGCGAAAATGAGTGTTCCTATTTATTGAAGATATGAGAGCAGCACATGCACTGGCACAGGGGTCGACTGGCAACCAGAGTTAAACATTAGGCTCTCTAAAGTGTATTTCCAATTTGTTACATACAAAAACATACTGTGTTAAATTAGAGGAGATTTATTCAGGCAAAACAGGTGCTATTCTGGAGCAAAGAGTTAAGTTTAGAGCATTCACCATTGAAAACAATAAAAATGCCTATTTAAAAGGTTGTATCCCGAATAATATGTGATTTGCCTTGATAGATTGAAAACTTTTTGAGTTTTTTATTTTTAGACAATTTTACTGAGGCATTTAGCTCTAGTTAATTTTTTTTTTTTCGTGGGAACCCATTACAGTTCCTCTCGTTATTTGGGGGTCGTAGAAAAAATATATAATTTAATGTTTTTATGTGTTTTTTGATTTGAGAAAAATTAAAGATATCTTACAAGGAGAAATGGGTGTTTTTGTTACCCACTAAAAAAGTTTAGCTGCACTTTTATTGTAATGGGCTCCCATTTTGCTTTAGCTGTGAGGCTGGCAAAGCATCTTGGGAGTTTAAGTTCTTCAGCAGCTGGGGATATATACCTCCTGGTTGCCTGTGACCTAGCAGGTGCCATTGAATGGAGGGAAGGGCTTGGTTTATTGCATTGTCGGAATTTTGCATGTGGCATTACATTCTTCCAACTGATTTAGAATTATGGTGGACTCCCTATATGTTCTAAATCGAAGGGAATAAAATGGTTAACAACATTTAAACCCTTGGATCCCTTTTCCTTCTTTCCTCTTGGCACCTGCATGCTGTCTGTATTAAAAATGTGTTTGATCGGCACACTTGATAGCAATTTGGCGAGCACAAAGTGTAAATTGTTTGTCTTCTAAAGTGCATTCGTATCACCATGCTCGGCCTAACTACAGCAAAGTTTATTATGCAAAAGCACCAATCTAACACCCTCCCTGACTTTTGCACCAGTTAATGGAAAACAGATTTTGATTTGAAATGCTGCAAAATGATCAGACCTTCAGGAAGCAGAGCTCGGTGAGCATAAAAAGTCAAATAATAGAAATGTTAGTGGGTCATCTAAAATTACAACTGCAATAAAGAACATGTAATATTTTTAAATACTTGGGATAGGAATGGAGTTAAAGCTATACTTGGGCTGCCTTTCATTGCAAGACAGCAATGGGACATAGATGTCCTGATTTGGCCCAAACTGGTAGGAGAGATGTTTCTGAGCAGCTGTCTAAATTTACAGCTACTTCCATGAATTTAGTGTCTCTTCCTTTATTGATATGCTGGGAGAGGAGCTGGGGAGAAAGACTGACAATGTACAAATGAGTGCAAGATTCATGATATTGTGTCTGAAACACAAAATGCAAACATATGTCCTCTCTCTTCTGTTCCTTCATCTCAATCTCTTTAAAAAAGGAAACTTAAATTCTCAGCAACAATTCAAAGCCTAACTCAAATTCCTTGTTTTCTTATTGTAACACCCACCCTGTTGTCCTTCTATACCCCAGACATTACCAACAACGGGCTATCTCTCAACAAAAGGGCTTTATCTCTTGGTATTTAGAGGTTATAGTTCAATAAGAGAGGGCAGAGAGAGTACGAAGCTGTACGTATTGATTGAACTTGTAACAGGCCTGTGCTTCCACTAACTCAGTACCTAATACTTTTCTAACTGCAGAAAATACAAAAATATATAAATTTATCCTTCTGAATATCACCGTCTTCCTCTAAATAGAAAAGCCAGAGTTTGGAAAAAAACAAACGAAAGATAGCCTACACATCTTTGAATCAAATAAATTATTTATTGCCTACTCTTGAAAAGTGCCTTTTATGGTAATATTTTTTTTTTAACTTGGCTTCAAGAGTACGTGACTCATATTTTTTTGCCACAAAGTATTTTGGGGAATAATGGATGCTGTCACGTGGTGATTTTATGTCAAATTTCCCAGAAAACAAAAGGATAAATGCTTTGTTTGTAGCTTAATTGGTCTTTGCAGATTTACGAAAAATCTCAAATCTGAATGAGCTGCTTTGCAAACTAAATTACTATGTCGGTTCAGTCCAACTGTGTAGAGATAACGCACATATAGATATATTTAGGTTTTAATATTGCAACCATACTATCTGTCTTTTTCCAGTGCTGAAAAAGGGACTTTCCAAAATCGTTCATATTTCGGCAAGCCAACTTAAAAGATGAATCTTGGCTGTGTAATTATAGATCTGTTTCAGAAGTCTGTCTGTATCTGTAGTTATAGGTATTAATCATCATTTTGATCTTTTTAGAGCTGTACAGATCTTCCTTTCTTTCACGCCAGATGACTCAAATTTACCCGTCTTGAAAAGAATTAACTGAGGGAGCGTATTATAAAAGAAATAAAAACATATCGCTTCGACCCAAAGTTGACCCTACTCGCAAAGCATTCTTGCTTGTCAGAGACAACTTTGACTTGTTCAATGGAAATCTGACAGGCTTGGAAAATGTCTTCAAGTTAGACATTTTTTTTTTCTTTAGCTACTGTCTGACTATATTACTTTTTGTTTGCAAAGGCTAATTTAAGCTGACTCTGTGTCCTGTTGACAGAAAGGGCAGTAACTGAAAGCTAACTTTGAGATAGTTTTTAGTCAGACTTGTGTGGAAACATTTTTTTTTTTTTCCACCACTGGATACTGTGAACAAAATGTTTAAGTTGCAGCATTTTTTTTTTTTTCCTGGTAAACGTTAAAGAACTTTATAAACTTTTGGAGTATCAAAAGGATACAATTTTGGATCTGTCACATTAGAGTGCTTTTTTTTTTTTTTAGTCTAGAAGACAATAACTATCATTGTGGCCCATATAAATTGAGTTGTGGTGACAAGAACTAGATAGAGATTTTTCTGTCTAGCGGCTAGCCTATATTCTTCTCAATCTTAAGTTTGTCCTCAAGTGACAACATCTTGCCATTAAAAAAAAATCTGACAGTATTAATATCACTGTGGTAGAATCTTTTTCTAGAAAGGCTATATAAAAGTAATGCACGTTTGCTTGTTCTTTATGCAAATTAATATATTTCCCATGATGCTTGCAGAGCTCCTATTTGGGAAATTCACTGAACAAACAAAGGCCAAAATGACTCCTTTTTATAGCCAAATGTTTCATTTTCACTTTAAAGGGACTCTGTAGGCACCCAGACCACTTCAGCTCATTGAAGTGGTCTGGGTGCCAACTCCCATCACCCTTAACCCTGCAAGTGTAATCATTGCAGTATTTATAGACTGCAATATTTACCTTGCAGGGTAAAGTTCTCCTCTAGTGGCTGTCTACCAGACTGCCGCACATGCGCTTTAGGTCTCCCCCGCTGGCGGAGCCTGACCCAGCGCTGAGAGACATCGGCACTGGATTCAGGTAAGTGTCAGCGACGTGGGATGGGGGGCACGTCAGGATCCTCTAGTGCCAGGAAAACGGGTTTGTTTTCCTGGAACTGGAGAATCCCTTTTAAGAAACATCGGGAAAAGTATGCAGATTTGTATAGAGAAACACTTTAAATAATTATTCAAAATGGTGGCACATAACAATATTAATTTAGTCAGCAGGCGGAAATTGGTTTTATATATGCCTCGGCTTCTTATTAGACAAACGTGCTTCAGTGCTGTTTAATTGGATAAACACATTATAAACATTATTAGGAAACAAGACAGTTATCCTCTAGATGTAATTTTCATCGGGACCTAACAGATTATGACTGAAATAGATTTTTTATACATACAGGTTAAAAGTGCAATATTTATGACAGCTACCTTTTTTTGTGAAAACATATAAGCTACTGTCAGCTTGCATTTCTTTAGCCATACAAAGCAAGGAAAACGACATGAACAAGTGTGTACATGTGTTAATGTTAGATATTTGCAGTACTATTTATGAAAATGAGAGAGAGAAAAAAGTAAGAGTCTAAAACAAGGTTTTGACCCGCCCAAAAGCTCCCTTAAAGGGAGACTATGTATACAATATGTAAATAAAATCTCCGTATGATTGTGCTTTGGAACAAAAGATTAACTTTTACAAATTTACCCTATCAATATATGCTTGTTTCAGGGGAACACTCCTATAACAAAATCTCTAGTTTCTCTCTTTGCAAATAAATAAAATAATAATAATAATACTGACTTTGAAAATTCCCAAAATGGCAACATTTGCACAGTCACGCATTTACAACAAGCAGACATCTACAGACCAGGAAGAGGCTGCACCAATCAGAAACCTCTCATTTTGGTCTACTGAGTTCTTTTTTTTTTTATCCCAACGTATGTACAGCAGGGGTTTAAGGAATTTTATAGTTCGTTCTCTAGCCACAGTTTCACTCATCACTTAGGATGAGTGGTTCTTTCCAACACAGCTACTATTGATTTATTCCTGATCTGTCTCTTTCCGAATCCAGAAGGAAAAGATAAATGTTTTTGGTGTGTCCACCCAAGCCCACACATAAGTTGCATGAGTCTTGGATCTTGTGTCTTGGATGAAAAATCTTCATTTGAAGTCACTGATCTATGGTCAATCTTATATCTTGCATAGTTCCATGGACTGGAAAGACACTTGCGTCCATCAAGTTCAGCCTTCCTCTCATATGTTTTTGCTGTTGATTAAAAAGAAGGCAAAAAACCCAGTCTGAAGCACTTCCAGTTTTGCAACAAACTAGGAAAAAATTCCTTCTTGACCCCAAAATAGCAGTCAGATTAATCCTTGGATCAAGCAGCGATTACCCCACTAATTAGAAATTATATTCATGTATGTTATGTTTCTATCTAGAAACATTTTGACAATTCACTCTATGCATAATTTACTCTCAGCAATAAGGTGAGGATGAAACGTTTCTGTGCACCAAAATGTATGCACGGAGAATAGAGTGACCCCTTGACAATCAATATGGCTAGGTTTGGCAGTCTGTCATTGTTTGCTCTGAAATCAGTCCACTTTATTACTTTATTTTCATTGCTGGGAAGCCTGCAATGCTTGCTAGAGATACTCTAGCTGTCCATAATGATTTAAACTTTACTTTGCAAGTTTTTAATATGTATGCTCAATCTCACCCTGAAACTGGCAATGCGATCAAGACAAGTGATTGTTAAAAAATTTTTTTATGGAAATGGAATGGTTATACAGACCTGTAGTTTTAAAATGCTTCGGAAAATGTGTTTTCAATTTGTAAATATTAATGCGTGCATTGTTTAAAAACCATTAACCTTGTGTTGGCAAAAGCAGCAGTTGGTTTAACTTGGGAGCCAACAGGTGATAAGAATGGGTAACGTTAAGTGGATAACTCTGCTTGCCAATTTGTTTCTAGTCTGGCAGCTTTTGTTTTTCTGTAGATCATGGTGTCCATTTTTGACTCTCTGTTATAGTTGGACTAAGTTTCTTACCTGCTGACAATGAATTATGGGAATTGTAGTACGGCAGATGAAGAACATATGTAGGAGACCCTTGATAAAAACAAGCAAACAGCGGCTATATAACAGAAATCATGTAGTAATGCAGACATGTTTCCGTTTAAATTGTATTTGATTTGGTATATGTGCCTTGAATTGGTGTGAGTTATCAGACTTACAAAATGTAGGCCAAAATATTCAAGGTGTATATTTACCCCCCACCAATACACTATTTTATTGCAATGTTTTTGAATGTGTTGTCAGCTCAGCATTAAAAATTAGCAGAGCATTGTGTAGGTGTGACAGTGTCTATGACGTTGTGCTACGATGCTGTAGTTCAGGGGTACGCAACCTTGGGCACTCTAGATGTTGTGGACTTCATGCTTTGCTAGCATTATGACTGTAAGTGCATTATGGGAGATGTAGTTCACAACTTCTGGAGCGCACAAGGTTGCCAATTGTTGCTCTAGCTGATAATTCAGAATTTACATTATCCTTGTCAAGGTAATCACAGTGTAGGCACAGTCGGCTGATTTTTAAATATGAAAAAAATGAATTAATTTATAGTGTAGTGAAAATGCATTAGTGGAGTTGCACCTATTTGTTGTGCAAATAACCAAAGAGCAAATTGTATTTTATCGATTGTTTTAGTTGTTGGTCATTGAAATGTAAGAATGGGGGTGATGCGTGCCTTTCACCATCTGACACAGTAGACACCATGGTTCCGGTATTTACAAAACAGACAACCTCCTGGTTTCGCACATTGCCATTTCTGTACAGAGAATGGTCCAATAAACAGCAACAAAAAAACAAAAAACGGCAACAACATCCACAGAAGGGCACTTCTAAAAAACATCTTTTTATCAAGAAAGATCACGGAAGAATGTCCAGTCAGTTTCAAACTAAACGAAAGGCAAAAATTATCATACATGAACGATGGGTAGGAAGAAGGGCATCTTTTGAAGTGCAAAAGGTCAGCTGAAGGCTTTGATGATGCTCACTCCAAGAACAGGAAGTTAAGGATATAATGGACATGTAGTCATCAAATCTGGACAACCGAACTGTGAAAAAACGTTATCTAGGTGTACAACTTTTTATTTAAGCCATGTAAAGAGTATGGTCAGAAATGTTGCAGAGAATATTAGGGCATATTATTGCGTGCCACCAGTATAGGCTAGTCTTTTGAGTATCACTGGTATGTCATGGTGTACCTAAGCATTGTTACTTGCAAGCTGAATCTGTTTATGGACAGAATCTATTTGTTTTAATGTATTAGTATCTCAAGCAAGATAATGCACCAAACCAGTTCTTAAAACTTGACAGAGCTTTTAGTTTACTTTGACTTGCGCAGATTTTGAAATAATATAAAAGTATATGAATAAATATATGTCAGAACAATCTGCAGAAACTGTGTGGTGCTATTGTGTGAACATCCATAATCCAAGAATCCATGTTTTATATAAAACTAACCTGTTCTTGATGCAAAGAGGGAACTACCTAATATTTAGACATATATACCTAATGAAGTAACTCTTGAGTGTTTAATACAATATATAGACATCAATTGCCTGGTTTCTAGATAAATATGGTTGGCTTTTCTATATGTCTTTTCAGACTTCTAAACGGTAGAAAGTCTTCTCAAACTCTGATCTGCAAGAATTAAAAAAATATAAACTACTACATCCTATATATCTGAGAAGTTTCTGAGTTAGCTTTTTTTTGTAGCAATGCCCTTTGTTGCCCGCTCCCTTAAACATAACGATTTGTCTCGCATGAAACCCTTAGGATTTTAGATGGATCAATCAGCATAAAATGAATCGCAAATGGTTCCATGCCAGATAAATAAAAAAACAAAGTTTAAGGAAAAGTGCAATGATAGTACGTGTCAAGTTTCCAGGCCTCTAAACTCCAGCAAAATGGGCATTTGACAATGTTTTGCGACTTAGTGATACGTCTTCGGTCATGCCTGCTTGTTCAATGATTACTCAATTCAGAATATCATTTTACGTGTTGATCAGTACTTCATATTTGGCTGCAGCAGTTGGCAAGTTCCTGTATAGAACAATTTGTAGTGGATTCCGAAGGGGGTACATTTTGCACAATTTTGAGATCAGTGTACGTAAATAATTCCTAGATATCCCTAACAATGTTGTTACCTTTTTTTGTTAAATCCTGAACTCTGGCTATAATTGTAAGTGATACACATATAAAATGTTTGAAGCTTTCAAGGAGGCCAAAGAAGCTGCTGTTTAAAGGGGAACTGTCATTCCCCATGTTTTTTTTAACATTATGCTTACTTATCCCTACATTTAACAAATATGTATATGTAAGTTGTGAAAAATAAAATTAAATGTATTAGTCGACACTTCTTTGTCCTGCAATTGGGTGACAATCTTAGCTCCCCATCAATCATTGTTTTTAACTCTGTTCTTTAAACCTGGCAGTCTGCATAGAGAAAACTAAAGTAGTATAATCTCGTCATTTGCAATGCTTGCCCTAGTTTTGCCTCTCTGAGATGGATAAAGAAAAATTAGCATCTTGTGAAAAAAAGTTAGGCATTTTTATTAAATTACATAAATTCCAGAAAAATCCCTTTAAGTGACAATTTTTTTTTTAATTGACAACTAGCATTTTAAGACATCACCCTAAAGTAACCTGATCACATGCATAAAACAAAACTTATATTTATAACACAATTAAAGAAAAAGTCTGTATATTGTGTTTAAGTATTCTGTAAAAAGTTCGGCACTTTTAAAGTTGTTTTAGTTGACACACATAGCATTACAGTACCTCTCTTATAATTACGGATCTTACCATGCTATTTGTACATCAGGGAAAATGATTTATTTCCTATCCCTCCCATATGTCATACCTGCCAAGTGATTCCAGACCCTGGTGGTACAGTAAAAGTTAATTTGTATGTGTGATACCATGTCCTGATTTTACCTAGTGATTAGAGTGATATAGAAAGGTCCTGTCGTATTATTGACATTATTCAAATTCTTTTATATTTATCTCTCCATATTCACAGGTGGCGAAAGTAGAATATGTAAGAAAAAAACCCAAATTAAAAGAAGTTCTTGTGAGATTAGAGGAGCACCTGGAATGCACTTGTACAGCAAATTCAAATTCAGATTATCGAGAAGAGGAAACTGGTGAGTCTCCATTTTGATTTGCGTCTGTCACTTTGGTTGTTATGGAAACATCTGCTGAAGATGATAAAAGAAACACGTCCACCCCAAAACGCGCTATCATAGACACAAAACCCATCTCATCAACACTTTAGTGTTAAAAATTATCAAAACAAATGAAGGGGATAAAAGAGAATCTTGTGTATTGCTGTTTCTCTGAGATAACAGACCTCCATATCTATTACAAACCCTCCTGAACTTTTATTGCTGTCTCCAATGCACTTTATTAACCAACTGTTATCCCTCCCTCCCTCCACCCCCCCAATTCTTGCTGTGCATTTCCCTGCTGTAAGGCTTTTTTTTACAACCCCCCACTTTGTGGAAAGGATAAGCCTAGCACACCTCTGTTATGAATGGAGTAGTCTAGCTTCATTTAAAGCTACAGTGTTTCTTCCGGTCTTCCTCAATATATTGTACTGTTTACATACCGATAATGGCTTATTTGTGAATTACTGAAACACGTGATACTTACAGTACACACCTGCTTTCTTTATAACTTCAAGGTCATTTTCAGCTAACAGTGCTGATTACAAAGCCTATTTACCACGTTGTTATGGAATATAGTGAGCTGAGTCACAGGTTTGTAATGTGCCTGCTGACATCAGCTATTATACAAACACAGCTCGTGCACGTTGGGTGAAAACCAAGCCTTTTAAAGGATTTTTTTTTTTTTTTAATAGCAGTAAATTGTGAACTTCACTAAGTAGCACTTGGGCTGTGGTAATATTTGTTTTACTAAATTGAGCTGGCCACCTAAAGAAAAACTTTTCTCCCCCCCTCCCCCCCCAATAAATTATCTCAACATTTGGTCATGCAGGTGGTTAGCAAGGAGTCCTGCACCAGTAACTTTGCTTTACTATCAGTTTTTGTTAGGCGACACTCATAATGTGCAAACATAATCTTAACCTTTTGTTCTCTAGACTTGACTACACAATGTGGGCTATGTATAAGGAGTCATTTTAGAGCAAAGCTCCAAAAATCAAGAAGCTAGAAGGGACATAAAATCCATTTATTTTGAGAACTTTGTCTTAGAGATTCTTCGTGCATTATTTTATTCCCATTTCAAAAATAACGGGTTGGGCAAACCTTAGGTTTTTTTTTTTTTGGGGGGGGGGGTTTGTGTCAGAAGAACTTACTTTTTTTTAAATTTCATTCCTGAACTGAAATACATTTCCTTAGGCCTTTTCACCAGCCCTACCCTTGTGTTAACAGGAAGGACTAGGGAATCAGGTAAAAAACGGAAAAGAAAAAAACTAAAGTCATCATAATTACCTGGTGGATTTTATTTTGCTCGGCAGGTAGGAACCCTGTAAATGACAATAACCTCAAAAAGCAATCAAAAGAATAATGATGAACCTATAATACAAACGTCCTAATCAACTGCATATCACGTCGCCACAATCACTTGTTTCAATTTTGACACTTTGTTACCTTAAGGCTGCAAAGATATTAGCTATGATTGGCTTTGATAATTCTACCTGCTGGTATTTTTCTGCAAGCTTCTTATCACCCATAAGCATCATGCATTCCACAGCTGTTTTTTTTTTTTTTTTTTTTTTCTTAACCCACTTTTTGTATTTTTTTTTTTTATTTTTAAACTTTTCCTCTGCTTATGCTTTTTTTTTTTTTCTGATCTGATGGAATTTTCTGTATAATTTATCATCGCGGCTGATTCGTGGGATTACCATGCATGAATGTGTCACAAGCTTAATGTTATTTTTTGTTTGTTACAGGAGTAAAATATTTTAGATTTAATCGTGGAAATTGGAAAAGGTCTTGGAAAAATCTGCTTAATCGGTCCATGAAATGCATATATCTTACAATGTTATTATTTTTTTTATCATGTTGTCATATCAATTTATTACTCTCTTTAAAAAAAATTTTTTAAAAAAAATCTAGATAAGGCCATACCCACAATTTAAATATAACTAAACTAACCATTAATTTTTTTTTGTTTTTATCAAAATGTTAAAAATAAATGAATAAGTAACATATGGCGCATTAGCCAAAGTCTCATGAATTAAAGGGATACTCCAAGCACCATAATCACTTCAGTATAAAATGTTGCACACAGAGTTTAACCCCTCAGCAGAGGAAGGTGTACCTCCACCTCCGGCAATGCCATTGGGAATTCATTACCCAGTACGAAACAAGAGTTCTGGACTGGATAATGTCAATTCTGGGCAACTTTTCATGTACATAATTGCATTCATGGGCTAAGAGCGATCATCTGATGCCCTCAACCAATGAATGGTAACAGGATTGGCTTGTGGCTTCTGCAGTTCTGCAGAAGCCGGAAGCGCGCCACCAATTCTGAGAGGTAACCAGGAGCCCAGTGATGACCTAAGTATGAGAGCCAAAACATTTTAAACAATTTGCCCTATTACCTGTGATCTGGGCCAAGATACCCCTTGGAGGCACTTGTACAATATGTTTCATGACAGGCAGTCCTGCCTATTACACCTCCACCTACAGTCTTCTGGAGGTCTGGATAAACATGTGGAGATATAACAGAACACCACTGCTGAATATGCTAGCTTGTTACAAATAAATGGAAATTAATGATAATAGAAACCATGCAGTTGTTTGCCTAACAAATGACAAGTGGCAAAATAAAAAAATAGGCAATCGCAGAAACTGTTAGAGAAAGATTAAAATTTAAAACAAGTTTGAAAAATATGAGGAGAAAAGAGAATGGAAAATATTTAATAAGGGGATGGATCTGGTTCAAAAGAGGTGAGCCTTCTGGAATTAGTGGGATTCATGTTGGCCGACAAAATAGGAGCACGAATCCCAAAGCTGGACAAGGGTTTTTAACTGGGAGCCCTAGGCAAAACTTGGGGGGAGGAATATCCACCAAATATCTATGCCAAAATGGCAATTTAGGTGACTACTGCGGGTTAGTGGCATGTTGAGTCCCCGGCACTGAACACAGATTGAATTAAGTGGGAATGAACGAACATGTGCAAGGAGGGAGATGATAATCTGGTACCCTACCTTGGCTCCTGTTTTTTGCAATCAGACGTTTGAATTCTGTAGTTGGTAACAATAGACTAGGACCACAAAACTCACTTGTCTCTCTGCTGGGACATAAAATCAATTTTCTGTTCTTTTTGGTGCATTGAGTTGGTGTTACCAAACGTTATTGGCTTAATTAGTTTGTCTGTGTTGGATGATAAAAAGTAAAGGAAAATGTGTTTAAAAGACATGTTTTCAATACAAAGAATAGATTTACATGTACATGGTTTATAATATACATGCACATTTATACTCTACACACTTCAGTATGGGAAACAAATGCAACCTTTCATTTCGATTTGTTTTGTGCTCAGTTGCTCTGAATTTTCCCGTGTTTCTAAAGCAAAAGCGGAACTGATCACTTGAAAACACAACACAATCAGCATATTGCAGAGCAAATCCCTAAATGGGTGCTTTTGTTACTAAAACTGCAAATATTTGTTCTAGAGCAGGGAGGGAGAAGAAATGACTGCAGTTTAACACAAATAGAAAAAGAGTCGTAAGAGCAGACCAAAAGTTAAAAAAAAAAGTCATTTTAAAAAAAAAATGTTTTTATTTAATCCCCTTACTTTCAAAGCTAATTCAGCCTGAAGAAGACAATTCTAATTCTAATTAAATAAGGGCCTATTTTAGAAGTAAAGAAATGGGGAACATCAAAATTCATCTAAATAGTAAAAAAAAAAAATAGATTTAATTTGAAAAAAAATAAATTTATATATGTACGTGTACAAATTACTAGTATTAATGGCAGGGCTGTATATAAACACCTAAACTTGCCATGTTTCTACTCCTATAAAATAAGGCAGATCTAGGCAGGTACCGGGTTCAGATAGTTAAAAAGAAAAAGCAAGTTCCACTTTAACTTTGTTCCATGCCTCTCTCCGCAATTCATTATTTGGGTGATCCCAATTCTCAATCTCCTTCTGAGTGCAGAGGCTCAAAATCAGAACCAGGAGCTTATATTAGAAAAATGCCATTTACTAGAGTGAAATGCGATCATTTTTTCAGATGGACAAAATATTATTTTTTTAACCATTTCTTTCAGGTCTACACATGATTATCTCTTTAGTTAGAATTTTATATAGAACTACTGAATGAATGCGTAACCTTGATAATTCAGAAGTCACACAATTTTAGATTTTAATTTACAAGATACTATCATGATCACATTACAAAAAATTGTAATCCATAGTTAAACCTCTTACCCAAATAATATTGGTGAGCACCCATATATAAATAATCACACATTTGTTAATGTACCAATAACTAGAATTGGCAATATCCTACTAAGTACAATGTATAATACAATTCTGAAATAAAACAAATTTTCACACAAGCGCCAAAAAACTCATCCCCCACATGGAAGGGAAATAGGGTAATTAAAAACTTACAGCTTCATATTTTGTGGACTGACTAAGGGATTATTTTACTTTTTGCAATTTCCATTTTTTATTTGTTCTGTAAAAGTGATTTGACCTTTTTTTTTTTTCCCTTTCTATCCTTTTGCAGATGTGAGGTGAAAATAAGCTAGACTGTTTCATCTGGGACTCGGATGTACACAACTTTGTTACATTCCTGAATCTTCCACGTATGGTGCTTTATTGACGGTTTTGTGTTTTGTTCTCTTGTGCGGAAAGACTGAAATAAATAAATGAAATAAAATGGTTCAAAGGACACTCTGTGAGAACAAAGGAACAATGTACATTTTGTTTTAATGTGACATCAAAGCAAGTATTGTAGCACTCTAACAGAGAAGAGACGCTTCCCCTGTCCGAAAAAAACAAAACTCGGCAACAAAACAAGATGGCCGTTGGTTAAAAGGATATATTTAAAAAAAAAAAAGTACTGAAAATATAGCAAGTAAATAGATGCATAACGTTCAAGCAATGGTGCTTTATGTCAAGAGATGTGCCTGCTTTTGCTAACGAAGATGGATGGCTATTGACAGACACACGGCACAAAAGAGCCAGGAATGTATCAAATGAACAAGTGTCTACACAGAAGCTACCGGAACAATACATCCTTGCTCAGTGGTGTTTAATGTCTTCAAAAAAAAGGAAAAAAAAATATTAAAAAAAACCTGGGAAGCCTTAAGGAGGACTTATTTTATTTTTTCATTTTTACTCCATAAAGTAATTATTGAGCTGTGGGGGTAATTTAAATGTGGCTATGTTGTTTTAGCACTTGTAAAACACCTGCTTTTAAAATGAGTCAGTTGATGCAGAGCATGAGCTGACACATTTTAATAGCAGAGACCTTCATGGTGTTTATAGATTTTTTTTTTTTTTTTTCAATAAAGTACATTCACTCTTGCTTGTTAAAGATGTTACAAAGTATTGTTTTGTGTGTTTTGTAAAAAAAAAAAAGTTGACATTTTGCTGAAAGAGTTGTTGTCACCAATGAGGATATATGGGAATTGGCCTATTCAAATAAGATGTCCAATTACTAATATAATAATATGGCCGCATGACAAATTACTCGTGGGGTACTCACTAAACTGGAAATTGCTGGTAATTGACAGTGTTAGGTCAAAATAGCTCATATGGAAAAATAGGTTGTCAGAATTGTTTCCAATTTTGTCTACTTTGGCCCAAAATTAGAAATTTTCAGCTCAATTACTAACCGTTCCTAGTTATACAAATGACCCTGGAAAGGACCCCAGATTTCTGTTTGACATAATTTGTAAGACTGTCACAAAAATTATAAATTGAAATTGCAAATTCAAAATTTAAAACTTTAGTGTCATTTTTTGTAACGGAACATTGAATATGTTCTTAAAGTAAAAACGAAAAATCATACGTGTATTTTTACATAACTGCAAGAGTGAATTGACTTTAAATGAATCTTCCTCGGTCCCTGTTATCAGAATTTTTTTTCTTATCCAATAGAGATTTATCGCAGAGAAAACATATACAAAAAAACGCTATGACTCTATAGAATTTTTCCTCTCGTAGGGAGGTAAGCTAATGAATTGTATTCAAATAAAAACAAAACAAAGGTATACGTAGTCCTTTTTTTCCTCTACTTTTTGTTTCAACTGTGTCTGCATAATTTAAATAATTTTAAATAAAATATTGTACATTAATAAATCATGGGATATCTGTACAACGTCAAACTTGTGCCAGTTGCCTAATAGTGCTATTTTCTTTTTCTTGCAATTTTGTTATGTCATCATACACAGTAAACAGTTGCCCATTGCCAGAACGTGTGAAATGGACAATTTATTCTTGTAATTGCATTGTACAATGTCACAGTAGCAACAAGAGTATTTGCTACTTGTATTTCAACAAATTCTAAATTCTTTATTTTTGGTAAAAAAAAAAAAAATATGCTTTATGTGTATTCAACAGAAATGTGTTCTTTTTTCTGTAAAGTTGAAGTTTGTATTTTTATCTAAAATTAACATTTTTATATAATTAAGAAGGCCTGATATGTTTTCTTGAACCAAAAATGCATCATGTAGTCATATTTTTGTAGAGCCATGTCCCTAACATTCACATATTTTGAGCTACAGTAAATATATGAGCACAAAGTGTATGATAGCTTATGTTTAACTGCTGTGATCACAGTCACGATTGTCTCCTTTTGAAACTTGTTCTTTATCTTGTGGCCTGATTCTGAGAAAAAGGAAACACTAGACTTAAATTATCGATAAGTAATTGTTGCTAATGTAGCTGGCCTCTAAATGCCTTTGTGTATGGCAAAGAATTTAAGACTATTTTAGACACCACATATGATTTTCAGTTTTCCTTTATAGATATATTAATTCTGGTGAACACCTGGGGAATGTATGTAATTAAAAAAAAAAAAATTAGCTCTAATTTTTATATAGATGTTTAGCATAATTCCCGAAACTTTACAGCTGCACCAAACAGTAGCTTGTTTTCCTGCATGCTAACTGAAAATGGAAAATAAATATTTATGAATTTCCTCCTATATAGATGGATATACCTAAATCTTTGTTTTTCATTCTTAAATGATCAGACCTCCTATCAGATCTCTCCTCCATGAGGCCAACTCTTTGCGCAAGAGTTTGTCCATCAGTTATACACTTATCCATTTGTCTATGACCAACCTAAACTTGATATCAAGGACTTAATTATTTAAGAATTAATGTCTTAAGTATTGTTTACCCAGTATCTACATAAATAAAATATGTGTTTTGTTCTTTAATCCCGCATACCATACATTTAACTCTGACAAGTCCCTTTCCTAAATTTTAGCCATGGTGACCTGTTCCTGGCTGGAATACTCATGTCTACCAAGCACAAAAAGAAGGTATTTTCCTGTGAGAGTGTAGAACAGAAGTAGGCAACCTTTGGCACTCTAAATGTTATGGTCTACCCCTCCCACCCTCCAATGCTCTTATGACCTTATTGCAGGCAAAACATCACGGGAAACATAGTCCACAAGATCTGGTGTGCTGAAGGTCGCCTACCCCTAATGTAGAAGACATTTTGGTCAGAACAGATTTATTGTAGCATTCCTGTATGACTGTGGCACATCTAACTTTTTTTAATGTGGGTTATCTCAAAGTAGAACTCATCCGTACCCAGTGTGGTAAGCAGGTATTTAGTGAGCTCTATCAAATGTGCGCAGAAGTCTGAGGTAGAGGGGGGACTATATTCCTTAGGATTTTAAGTCAAACAACCAATATGCTTTTACAGAATGTTTGTTTTCTGTATCTTCATGCCTAGATACACTATAGAGGTGCCTTGATGATAACTTGGGATATTGCAGTATTTACAATTACTGTTAAGAATGAAGCTAATTTTATTTTTAGAGAAAGAGTAGATGTTCTATAACCTACTCAGGCTGTGTGCCACCTGTAACATTTCTAGAAGACATTTTAGCCGGGTTCCTGTTGAGTGTTAGTTGTTGCAATTCAAATTGACATATCCTATACTTAAAAAAAATAAAAAAATAATAATTAAACCTCAATATATTAAAATGAAATGAAGGTGTCATACATTTTCAGAGCTGTTTTCTGGAGAGAGAAATGCATTTAGTTGTATATAATCCAGATGAGAGAGACCTTTCCCCACTTTAGTGCATGAGCAACATGGAATTTGTCACACCTATATATTTTCTCAAAATGCTGCCTCTTTTTTTTAATCGTTGGTTAAGTATTTTGCCATGGATTGCACTGCTGCTGTTTGAAAGACATCTTTGAGAATTGCAGATATCTCTGATGAAGACAGTATCTGTGTGGCAAAAACTACAATTCGTTTTAATTGTGGCTCCAAAAATGGCATATATTATATATCATGAAAATTGAATACAGAAGGCCACCTGAGCATCATGAATAATGTAATTCATGGACAATAATTAAACGTAAAACATTTCTAGTTCATTCATTTTTCCAAAATTAGCTGTTGAGACTGGCTCCATATCTCCAACAAGATACTGAAAACCTGCATTGTTGATTGAAAATTCCGTAAAGGAACTCAATGTATTAATTCAGCAGCATCTATTGCTGATATACATCTCCTATGATCCTATGCTAGCATTAGCTTTTGTGTGCAGGATTGTGTACATCATATTTTGGAAAAAGCCAGAGACTTGATTATTTTTGCCACATTAAATAGGTTTGAGAAAAGGGTAGATTTCAGTGAAAAGGGAAAGATCAAATTTATTAAAAAAAAACAAAGCTAAAATACTTCCAACGGCAAAATATTTTATTATTCAATATTTTAAAATAAATCAAATAAAACACATAATTACAACTATGTATTGTAATTTTTTTTAATCATAAATATTTAATATGATGAACAATGAAGGTTTTCTTTAAAACAGTTTTACATTTCTTTTGAATACATTTTCAACAACTCTTTGTTGTACTGCTTGTGCACCAAAGACAGACACTCTTTTCCCTTCATTATAATATTTTATTTGTCGTTCATTCCCAACTAAGTTAAATTCTGCTCCAAAACTGGAAGTGCGTGTATTAAATTGTTTGTGCTCTTTTGCAATTAAGTGTACAATTCATAATGTTATGCACATGGATGTATGTGTCTGCGTACTAGAAACAAAAAGAAAAGCCTGTAAAAAAAGTGTAATTTATATATTTATGTTTCTCGGTGGGATGCCAGTTATGTTGCTAAATTTGTTTATTGCCTACAAGATATCTAATGACAAAAGCTTTGTATACCCATTAAAATGATGTAGATGGAATCTGTGACTTCGGCTTTTGACATGGAGCCATATTTTTGTCCACGCTGTCCGTCTTTAGACCTTGGTCAAGAACACTCTTTGGTCAGAACCTTGCACATGAGTACCAAATATGGAACCTTTGGTTACACATTAGATTAGCTATATGTACAAGTGATTCATTGAAGTGTTGAAGGGAATCTTGGTTAATATGAAGAGTGCTTCATGAGCATAAATATTACTTTTTCCACATTGTCACGTGTTGCGAAAGTCATGCAAGGGGTTTCTCCTTTTCATGAATCACTGGTAAGTAAGGCAAAATATACATGTTACAGAATGCATCATATGGATTTAATATGCCTTCAAAAGAAAGGGAAGTTTTTCCAAAAGTGAAAAATCCAGTTGTTTCTGAGACAGACACAAACATGCTAGCGCTTTGGGATTTGGTCTGTCTGTTTGAGCCAAGAATGAGTCAAATCCAGAATGTAGATTAACTTTTTTTTCTGCTCCCTTTGGAAGCCCCATTACAGATCTCATGACCAAAATTGCATTTTTTTCCCTTGGATTTTGGAATGAGATGTGACGTTTAGGCATAATGAAAGGGCATCCTTTGGGAGCATGTCCTTCCCATGGAAATGTTATGGTATTTCTTGAAGTCTACATAAAGAGGGAGATTTTGTGTCAGGACTGCTCTTTGCTTAATCCTAAAATATATATATATTTTTTTAAATACAGTTTCAGTGGTTGAAGATATTGAGATACAGTGTTGCATGTCATACAGTCTTTGATGGGATTACATGTAGCTTGTAGTAACTAAATTAACACTTATTGAGGCTGCTGGTCCTTCTTAATAAATCTGTACAATACATTTTATATTATGATTGGCATATCTGATCTATCGGAAATATTACCGATGTACGATGTGCAAGTGATAAGTGAGAAGGTAATCAAAGCAACACATGCATTCATTAACAACCCATGCTTGCTACTATGTCCCAAATGAGCTCTGTACACATTTGAAGTTCATTAGTTTTCTAGCAAAATAATTTGCTGCCATGATAAAATGGGTTAACATAAATGCAGCTTAGTTGTTGTCGGAAACGGATGCTCTTATCGCCTCGTCAAGATTTTCTGTGTGTAAAACTATCTAGTTTCTTTTCCTTTCCCAGACAAGCATGCTTTTGGGCTGTCATGCATGGGTACCTTAATAATTTTTAAATGGCTTAGAAAATTTAATCTTCAAATAAAACATCTGTGAAATGGCCAGAGTCACCTGTCCTTGGCTGGAAATACTCGTGGTTACCAAGCATGAAAGGAGGGAATTTTCCCATGAGAGCGTAGCAGGAATAATTTAGGTCAGAAAAGGTTTATTGTGACATTTCATCCTGGCTGTGGCACGTCTAATTTTTTTGATCTGAGTAGTTATCTCAAAGTAGAAGTCCATCCATACTTTGTTAGAATGGATTAACAATACTCTATTGTAAGCACGTACAATTTCTCTGAAATGCACGCATATTTTGGCAGAGACTTATTTAGCTATGCTGCATTCGTAAAAATCAAGACATTGTATTATTTCAATTAGTTATGCCCTATATGTAATGCCTAGAAATTGCTGTATGTCTATTAAAGGTACAGTCTCAGATTTTCCTTTTTTTTTTTTTTTTTTTTTTAGGACAGCCTGGTTTTGACACTGCTAAGTCTTTTGAGAAAGGATTTGAGAAATCCAAGCTGAATTCTGTCATAACTATACTCAGTATCATTTGGGACACCCAGGTTTCATATAGTAACCTAGGTGAGTGAACCTCCCTTCAACAGGGTTTAATAAGACTGTGGTCAGCCAGCTAGAACTACCCTTAGCTTGGTATAAAGTCCAAAGCTGCAGGTAAATTCAACAGAGGTGTTTATGAATCAAGTGCTGATGGAGATCCTCCGCCCTCCATCAGCTGAAAGCTTAACTGCAAAGGTATGAAGAATAAATTGTGTATCGTCATATGTTCCTGTGGAATTGTGTAACAATGAATTATGGATTTTGAGCTACTGATATGTTTTGGATTCTCTTTGCTGCTTATATTCAGGGTAAATAAAGTCTGTAATATTCACGTTATTTTTTTAAACCTAAGCCTCAGCTCAATAGAGGCTTCTTATGTCTTTGGTCAAGAAAGTGTATTATCCCGAGAATTAGCTAGTAGGTTATTTCCTTCTATAGATACTTTCTCACCAGTCAGGCGTTGAGTGAGCCAGCCTTACAAAGGTAGAATCATTTCAACATTCGCATCTCATTCGTGTGATGGAATGCCTCAATTCCAAAATTAGAGACTCTACAAGAATCATTTATGTCATATTAGCTTACCTGTAGGTACTTGTAGGTACCTGTAGGTACTTTATTGTGTAAAAAGATTCACTTCAACGTCTTTTCCAAGGTAAGCATGCTAAAGGGTTACCAGTTCCATGAAAAAAAAAATCTGTTCATATGAATTGATTCGTCTATAAAAAAAATAGTGGAGTTTGGTTTTATATATTTTTTGAGAATATAAACATATATATATATATATATATATATATATATATATATATATATATATATATATATATATATATATTGGTTGTTTTTTTACAGCTCCTCTCCCCCCCCTCCCCCCACACTCTCTATTGGTCACTTCTCACTTGATCTGTGAATAAAATAAATGCATTAAAAATAAATTAAAAGAAAATAAAACATCTTAGTTTCCATCAAATATTCTCTTTATTTTAGTGCCACAGATGGAACTCCGAATCCATTATCCATCTTACTTTTTTATGATTCATCCATATAGTGTTTTGGAGTCAGGGATTTTGGACGGACTGCCAATCACCCAAAATTCAAAATAATCATGATTCGGGCGAAACAGAATGCACAAATCTAGTTGTCATGTGTGGATAACTTAGGGATGTGTTAACTAAACCAGGAGTTGTCAAGATTTGGCAAAAGACCTGCAAATCTAGGCCCAAAATTTGCTGTTTAGCATCATTACTGTTATATAAAATATTGTATATTTTTGTCTTACCTTTTTCTGGTGCAAGATAACAACATATACATGTTCAACACTATTGATGTTTCCAATATGTTTTTTTTCCCATTGTATATTTCTTGTGTGTGTTATTATATGGTACGTATTATTGTGAACAATTATCAATAAAAATTATATTTTTGAAAAAAAGGCAGAATTTAAAAAAACAAAACAACTTCATAATTTCCAGATTAGCTGTTTTGGCCAAACATTTGCAGTTCCTTTGTCAATTTTCCCAAATTTCCAGTTCTGTGATAAAAACATCTTATTTTTTAATAGTTTACAAACTGTACTTTTAAAAGCCGTGGCTTTCAGAAACTAGTTATTTTCAAGACATTAAGCAGAGGTGAGATCATTGTATTTACCTTTTTCTTTGTAACTTAAAAAAGTTGTGCTGCTGATGTACTGGAATGAATAACTTCAAGGCCTCCAAACTGCTCCGCTTTTAGCGGGACAGTGCCTATTTTAGTTATTAAGTTATTCATTTAGATTAAGTTAAAGCGCACACATAACAATACATTTTTAAATTCTATAAGACTACTTGAAATCACCTATCTCAGCAAACAAACATAGGTTCAAGGGACTCTGCAGGCTGGAGTTGAAACCCATGCTTTAATTTATTATGTAGACCAATGTCATGGTTCTCTTGCTGATGTGCCTTGTGGACTCTCCAACCTCCACCCTGTGTCTTCAATTATGTTTGATGTTGTCCATCCACCATGGGGCCATATACAACACGCCTTCTGATGGTGGCAAGTGTCTTGCCACATGCACTAGTGACGAATATGAAATAATATTTTCTTTTGTGCTAGTGCATCTGCAGGTTTCTCTTAAAAGCAGATACCACACAGCTGGCCAACTACCTGTATTAATCTACAGAATCTTGATAAGTGGAACTTACACGTTATCTAAATAACGGGCAAGGAATGCTCGGAAATGGTTTGACACAAGCTGGACAGACTGCATCCATAAAACTCAATTCCCTATAGTCACCACAATGAGTTGTTCTGGTTTTGGAATTCAGAGTCACTTTTAAATAACAATAACATAATAATAAATATTCCGAGCTCAAACAAAAAAGGGAACTACGGTAAGGAAGAGCAAAAGGGTGACTCAACCTAAAAATGGAGGCTTTAAAGGTACGATTAAATTTGATCAGTTTATGAAGAAATCTAAATTTGCATAACACTGGCAATATTTAGCTAAAGAAAATGGTTTAACACAATATGTAATTAAAAAATAAATACACATTTCTGAGATATCGCTCTCATTCTGACCATGTTTTATCCTCAAATTGCTCTTCCTTCCAAGAAAATACCTCAAACGATGACTGCCAATAGTGAGCTGTTATTAAAGGCTTTTTTTTCATCTCTAAAGTAAAGTCTGCCTAAATATAGGTTTGGATAATGAATATTATGATTTGTGATTCATCCATATTATTCTGTAATATTATGTTATAAAAGCTAAGCAAAAAACATCATATGGTATACCTTTTTCAAAATTGTTTTCTTGTTAAAAATAGTTCGAAATCATTTAGTGACCCCCCCCCCCTTTTTTTTGATACATTTAAAAAATTAAACAATCACTTTCAGAAATGTTCAAGGAGGAGGGAGGAGGCTAATTAAATATGACAAAGATAATTTTCCGGTAGGTGAACGCTTAAGGAAGAATCAACAAACAAAAAAAAAAGAGAGTGCCTTGGTAAAAGTGGAAGAAAAGATGATTGTGAGGATAAGGTTACAGGATATTTCGTGCAAACATTTCGCACCACTTGGAGTGGTTGTTTTTCTTGGCATAAGTTCACAGTTTGTACAACAACGGGAGAAAATATGACATACGTGAGTGGTGACAACTGCAAACAACAAAGTGTTTACACTGTTTGCAGCCACACCTGTTAAAAAAAACAAAAACAAAATGTGGTCTGTGGCACCCCAGTATGAAACAACACTCTCTCCCACTTTGTACTAATATAAATAATCAAAAAATGTTGGATTCCCCAGACCCCTGTAATGAGCAGGGGAGGTCAGAAACGTTTTCCTCCACCCCATGTGTGACACTTCACTGAACTGGTAAATGACCCTACCTCTTCCTCAATCCCAGGTTGGTGGAATGTAGGTTAATAAAACAACAAGGGCTAAGTGGTAGATCGGTAGCTTCTGTATTGGGGACTTACCTGTTAATATTTAGGGTAGGCAGCAAAGGACAAGAGAATCAAGATACATAGCTTACATGCAGCAAGTCTGTGAGGTAAACATGCACACCTTTTTAAAAAGTAATAATGACAGGATTAGGAACATGCTTCATGAATCTATCCAGATCTAGAGTAGAGCATATTCATACAGCCTGATTTAAAATTTATCCCGGACTTGCAAGCATCACAGTGCTCTATCGGCTGTTCTACTGCCATATGCAACAGGTAGCCTTCTGGAGGACCAGCATTTCATTATATTTTACATACCCTGTTATTTCTGCTGTTGTGTGTGTTTTTATAATTAGTGATTATTATTTTCTTTTCTTATTTTAAATGTATATAGTTCCATGACTTTGTAAGCCTGTGCTAGTCATAATTTGCTTATCCCTGGCACATTGCATATTTTATCACCTTTATATCTTGTCCATTATGTTAAAAGTTAGTTTTACCAGCTCAGGCCCATATATCTTTCTTGTTATTTGTTTAATGGTTTTATTTCCCTACATGAATACCTCTGTCTTATAGTACAAAGAAATAAGAGGTGGTGTGGTGATGGTCTATGTACAAGCATATACATAATCAATAAAGATCGACAAATTAATCTAGGGGCTGAATGCATAACAGAGCAAGATATACACTGATAATATCTAAGCAGAAAAAGTTTAAGTAAGGCTATATATATATATATATATAGATAGGCAAAAATAATTCTGTCTATTGGCAAATAGCTATGAGAAACCATTTGAGGGAGAGTGGCATAACTCTCAGAAATGCTAAGGGCAATAGGACAATCTAGAGGCAAAAAAATTAATAAATACATTTTAAAAAAAGTAATAAAAAAAATGAAAAAATTATGGGGAAAAAATTAAATATATAAAAAATGTATAAATAAAATCAGACATCGATCAAAAGACTTCAGAAAAATCAAAGAATGAAAAAAATCAAAGAATAAAAAAATGAAAAAATAAAACAGTCAAAAAAATCAAAAGAATTCACCAAGAATTAAAAAAAAAAAAAAGATTGTAGATTATCGTGTATCCAAAAAAGAGTTGAAAGAAACATATTCATTGAGGCCCTTCGGATGCATGGTGTCCAATGTCTTAATCCAATATGTTTCCAGTTGAAGAAGCAGTCTAGATCGGTCTCCTCCTCTAGACAGAGGGGGGATATGGTTGATAGCCATGAACTTGAGTGTTGGAAGGCGATGTTGTGCCTCTAAAAAAATGCTTGGCTACTGGTTTGTCAGTCCTGCCATCTCTGATGGTGGTCATGATTCCTGATCGATGGCTATGCATCCTATCGCGTAGGGTGAGGTCAGTTTTCCCCACGTAGTGGAGACTGCAGAAACAGGATATCATGTAAATTACATGGTCAGTTTGACAGGTGATATGATGTTTAATGCAGTATCATTTTCCTGAATGAGGATGGGCAAAGGAAGAACCCATGAGCATGTGTCCACAGGTTACGCAGTTGGCGCACTTGAAGCAACCCTTTTAAATATGGATTCTCTTGGTCTTATATTAATGTGGAAAACCACTTTTGAACAAGATGTCTCTCAGATTCCTGTTGCGACTGAATGCAAAGCGGGGAAGTTGAGAGAAACCAGAGTGTAGCGTGTGGTCAGAGGATAAACCCCGCACTCAAGTGGCAACTCCCTCAGCAGATGCGACCAAGATTACAGTACCTTTTTTGTACCACACAGTAAGTGATAAGATTGCAACAACCATCAGAAAAAGATGGGACCTTTTATCCTCTGAGCACACACTACACTCTGGTTTCTCTCAACCTCCCCGCGTCGCTTTCAGTCGCAACAGGAATCTGAGAGACATCTTGGTCAAAAGTGATTTTCCACATCAAAGGAAGTGTATGGCAACCAGCTGAGGGGTCGGCCGCCCCCCTCACGGTCACTGTGAGCAGGCCTCTGGTAGGCCACAGGTCCACCTTCGGAAAATGCTGCCATTCACGGTCAAAGGCACAGAGATGTTATATGCAGATGCTGCCTCTCAGCTCCGGGATATCTTGGAGGGTGAAATGTACGGCAGGATTGGATTCTAAAAGCTGTTTTGGAGCCAGTCTGCACGGAGCTCACCAAATCTGCGACCAGTCGGCTTGGCTGCTAGGCTCCGTCCCCCTTATTTCCCTTTTAGCATCACAGAAGAGAAAATCGCATTGTGTTGTTCTCTGCTGTGACATTGAACAGGTTGATTTTGCTATGCCTTGCTTTTTTTTTAGTATTGTCACACAGACTTTTGCATTTACATGTGAAATATATAGTAAAATAATAAAATAACAAAATATTAACTTATTCCTATTTTCTTTTTTTTTTTTATTCTTTATTTTTGGCATGACAGTGCGATACAATGATGGAGAACCATATGCATTACAATCCAGGTTACAGCTGATAATACCATCGCTACAGTTCGCGTGATTGCATTCAGTTTGTAAGGCTGTGCTAGTTGGTGTCATTTTTCATACATTTTCAGACATATATACATTTTGTGAAAAATTGTAAAAGTTATACAATAAAAAGGAAAAAGAAAGGAAAACCATGCAATAACTGGGTATTGTAATTACCGCAAATGTCACCCTTTGGTTTCAGCCCATAGTAAGCTGTGTTATTAGGTATGAAACCGTTCTCGTTGCAGGGGGACCTATTTGATAACGACCTTAGCCCTGTGTGGTTAGGTACTGATATTCTTGGTCCCGTTTCCAGCAACGGTGTTGTAGATAAGGCAGGGATGAGGAAGGAGGGGGGAGGGGAGGAGGGGTGAGGGTCCCCGTGGCGGAGTCAGGAGCGTTGCGATGTGAGGCTCTGTTGGTGTCTTGTTAAGTGTTAGCACCGTGGGAGGTCCCTGTAGTGGGACCCACAT